GGAACTTTATATCGTGTAAAAGCATCAATAAAACACAAACAATAGCTGGACAGACGGAAAACAAACAATAGGCAACCTACAAGTACAGCTTTAAGAGTTTTCTGAAGGGTAGTAGGCGTCCAGATGTTTAAGTCATAAACATTAGAAAGGAGAATTTAAAAGTCTCCAAATGTTGTGTTCTAGTACGTACATAAAATGAAGTGGAGGTTTAGGTCAGACCATACGCACTTAAAGACCAAAAATAGTCTTTAAAATCTTTTATTTAGTATATACAGTATTATGACTCTACTGGAGATATAAATTATGTTTGAGATGCTTATTCTCTGACAAGACCAGAGTCCAGAAGAATTTGTGTTTTTTTCAGTGGAAAAAAACAATTAAAGCTCTTAACCATAAGAAGAAATAAATTACAAATATTAAAATTATATGATATATTCATATATCTCCTACATGCACAGCAAAACATTTAAACCAGTGTGGTCGGTAATGCGACGTAGAGAATATTTCATCATGATCGTACCTGAAGGCCTTGTATACGGGCCTGTACCAGCAGATGAAGGACACGGGGGTGAAGAGGACGAACCAGAGGATGGCGAGACCAAAGTCAACACCACTCGCGGAGTCTGCAGTGAAGTATGCCAGACAGGCCAGCACGTTGAGGAAGAGAGTGGCACTGTGGACTTAAGAGACACACAAGAAATCAAACACATCGTAGACATCAACCCTAAAGGACTAATGCATCACAATTCTTTTCACAGCTAAAAAAAAAAGTATTTTTCTTATAATCCAAAAGAAGGCCATTTGGAAGAGATTTTTGATAAAATCAATAATGTGTGACAGAACGTTTTTTAAGGACATACAATTGAAATGAATAAATCAACGTTTTACAAAACCTTTCAAATACAATGAGATACACTGTCCTCAAATGTTAAATCATTTTTATATGGAAAAATGTGATAATAGGCAGCACAAAAAATAATGATTGTTGTGGCTGTCAAGTTTTAAAAATGTTCCATTCATAATGTAATAATCCTATTGTAAACTAGGGGTTAAATGTTGTAAGTGATTATTGTATCTATAGAAGATTTCGTGTTGTGAAGACATTTTTAAGTCTACAGGAATGATGCACTGTGGTGTGCATGTAACCATGGCTGCTACAGATGTCAATTATAAAATTACTTAGAATTGTTGTCATACAACATTTATAGATATAAACATTTGTATTGAGGAAAAAGAGCTGCTTGCATGAGTACATACACATCCAGAGGTAGTACATTCTCTTGCAGATCCTGTGGTATTCCTCTGGGATGTCCTCCTCAAAGTCCTGATAGAAACACGGCTTCACAGGGGAGAAACTGGGTAGAGGGGGCCAGTTGTTCTGTTTTTCTGAAAGACAGGAACAACACAGCTGGTTTAACATCGTAACTGTCAATCCTTTAGTGTTTTTTTTAATAACATCAGGACTTTTAATGCCACTTGTAAAAACAACTTGAACTTCTCACCGCCAGTGCTCGTTCTGCCTCCATTCCTGTTTGCAGCTCCTGCTCTCTCCGCTCCAGGTCGGCTGCTTTCCTCTCCAGTTCCTCCTGCTGTTTGATCAGGCTAGCCTGGCCAGCAGCTGCATTTTCCTTAAGGGATGGAAGAGCTGCAATCTGAACACTGTGTTCAATATCATCCCTGCATCACTAAAGCTCCCTGCTGCATTTTCCATCTTAGAGGATTTGTTATTTGAAATCCATGAGCTACACTACATCTGATTTTACAGCTTTTCAGCTGTACAAGACAGAACATCCTGAGAAAACTATGATATCCTAGTTTTTGTAACCATTAACTCCAACTATTAAAGGCACAGTGTGTAGATTCTGGCACCAGGGGCTCTCAATCAAAAAAATACCAAAAGATGACGTTGAGGCTGGCGGGGAATCATGGGAGTGATTCCTTCTGCTACTTTGTCGATTAATGCATCAGTTTGTAATTCTCTTAATGCTCCTAAGGTTTTTTTTTACAACCCTGTAAAGCACTCTGATGTGCTCCATGTATCATTGGTGTTTTATAAATATACATGCCTTGCCAAGACAAATTTCTAGTATGTGAAAAACATTGTCAGCCATAAAGCTATTCTTTTCTGACTTGCTACTAAAGTTGAATTGAAGTCAAAATACTAACATCAGTAGCACTAACATACAATCTTGATTCAGAATGGAAATAAGCCTTTATGTGATAAAATATTAAACAAGAGAACTCTTGCAAGTGAATTTTTAAACAATAAAACTATGTAAAAAATACATTGTTAGTCACAATTTCAGTTTAGGTGGGGCTCTATTTCTGCTACAAGCTTATCACTCTTAAACTTAAAGATGTATTTGTTCTTGTACTTATCGATTATTTTGGACATTTAAAGCTCCTTTCAGCTACAAAACACAGGTGCACTCTAGTAATTCAATCTTTACTGATATATAATGTTAAAATGTAATGTTCAGGTGCTTATTTCCTAGCAGTTAGGTCGCGCCCCATATACAAGAGCTACAGGACGGCCTGGGTTCAGATCTGTCTGTGCCCCCCCCCCATCTCTAAAAAAAATATATATAAAATGTAATGTCACATGGTACATATACATCAGACTCACCTGTGCACTCTGCTCCATCGAGGTCTGAAGGACGGCCGGTTGTGAGGAGGCAGCAGAGATGGGGATGGTCTTACCAGAATTGGTTCCCTTGGTAAAAGAAGAAATACTGATTTTTAACTTCCAAAAATTACCTCAATATGACGAAAGAACACTTCATCACATTCACAGTTAGAGTAAAAACAGAGGTACGAACCACATCAGCAGCAAAGGGGTTGAACTCCCCCACGTTTTCAGTGGCTCCACTGGTGGCTTGTGTGATGGAGGCATCCTGAAAAACACATTGAATAGATTCATGATGTATCCCTGAGAAGTAACAACGCCTCTTCAGTGATATGAGTTAAATTGTGTCCCAGAGAGTGCAAGCAAGGGCCAGGAATGTTACTTGAATGTTTTGTTATTTCACACCACATAAACTATTCATAGCCTCCTGGCACTAGGGCACATTTATCTCAGTTAAAACCGTGATATTTACAGTCTGTGGTTAAAACACAATTTCTTAGGTGTGAACGAGCACACGGTACGTTTTCTTTTAGTATATTGTCAGAAAGACATATGCTACCCTGCAAATGTCTTCACCGTCTGTAGCTTTTACATCACATTGTATATTACAATAACTTCTACTTAGCAGTACACAAACATACTGGGATGTAATTTATAAACATGAAACACTCGCATAGTTCTCCATATGAAACAAAGTGCACAATTGTTTCCGGCTATATATATCTACCCGTATGTATTTATCAATGGCGTGTTTAAAATGAAACTCGGTTGAAGGCTTAATGTTATAAGCAGACACCTGTTCTGCTCACCTGCGCAGGTTAATAAGCAGCCTACTACGTGCAGTGTTATTAACATACAGTTTTACACTTTAGAAAAAAACCTACTCACAGACCACAACGTGTCATAAGACATTATAGTGACGATTCTTGGCCAGGAAATACTGAAGCCAAACCGGGCCAAACCCAGCAACCAACCAAACAGGTTTTGGTTACAGCATATCTCTTTCAGTCTTACATTTACAGAAAAAACGCTGCTAAAAACTCGGAAACAAAACAAAACAATCACCTGAAATGGATTAACGTCCACGGGATCAGCGAAGGGGTTGCTTTCAAATCCCGACATTGTTGAGGAAAGTTTGTCTTGTGTGAAATAAACAACGACAGTCCCCGTGTCCCTGTCGGCGTCTGCTTCTCCTGATTGCTTCTGCTGTGACACAGGGCCTCTGCGCATGCGTCGGTTGAGGCGAGCGTCACCGACGGGGAATGGGAGTGGGGGGGGGGTTGGATTTCCCAGTGCCAGTCGTTATCAATTAAAGTTAGTTTACCTTTATTTTTAGAGTAATGCAATTTATTTCCATTGTGCAGTTCTCGTGACAGTCAGTCTGCTATTAAACAACTTTTTTTTTTTTTCTTGAAATAGGACCCAATTTGTTGTGGTCAACATAACATGCAAAGTGAGAAAGCCTATTTGTAAAATTTCAGTCACGTCTTCAATGGTTTTAAGATGCTTTTGGGTTTTATCGGAATTATGGGAAATGTAAAGGATAAACAAAAAAATATGATCCTTCGGAACATTTGAAAGTCTTATATTGCCAACTAATTTTCTCTTTGACAAAACAGAAGACACTAGAACTTATTATTATTAAAACTACCCGTCAAATTACGTTATTAGCCTACACATCGTTAGATAACAATTTTTCAAATAGTGCACCTTGAAGTTGTTGCATTTCAACGACTATCTATGGTTGATTTTGAAAGGTGGAAAAACATGTTTCAAATGTGAAGGGAAAAAATGTATGTACCCACCAAGTTTTGGCTACATGCTTTTGTAGCTGTTACTTGAGTTCATTATATTGAATTGCAACAGGCAATTTCTGTTTATTGCTGTACAGGTTTTTAAGAATTTCAAACATGATGTACATATTAGAGCCATGAGTCACCAAATTTATAACAATTCTCTGTTTGCCCAACCCTTGTGTATACTAAGTATGAATTTTCTATTATTTTCGTCATATTGCTTTCATCTTTAAGATAAATAATGTGTTATTATGATAATTCAAAAGCTAATTCAAAATTAGAGTGGCAGGAACTTTTGTTCTTTGGTAATTATAGTGGTATGGAGACCTATCATATTTAATGCATGGTAGCATATCACCTGTCACCATCTTTGTTCCTTTTCAGACTCAAAAGGACAGCACACTACTTATATACAGCTTATGAATATAAAAAGTCAAAACGTCTGCTGTATAAAGCTCTGATTTAAATATACCATTAATAGTATTTGGGCTCACTGCAGAATGTCAGGAATGAGAAATTGAGTACTTCAACATTGGACAGAAAGGTTTTCAAAGGACAAAAACACAACACATTCTCAATAATAAAGACAAAAGTCAGACTGTTTTTATATTCTTGTTTGGTTGCTATTCAGCAAACACTTTTGAAACTGGAGGTGGGGGTTGGTTTTGGAGTGGAGGGGTAACAATAGAGTTCAATAACAGAATGGCATTTGCCCCCTACACTTTACACATGACCTGTACTGTACATTACATTTGTTGTATGGCTGTTAAGCAGTGAATGCAGGGTTTATAATACACATTTAACATTCTTTACAGAGCTGGGATCCCCTTGGCTGGAATACAAACCAGCTGACTTGGTCCCTTTGATGGCGGTATTTCCCTTGTAAGGGGGAAAAAAGCAGCACAAAAACTTAAAACATATGGAGTGGTTTTCTCTTTTTCACACATACACACAGTTGAGCATGAGCGCTCGGCAAATGCACACACACGCACATGAATCATCCACTGCCCAAATCCGTACATATCTGTCCATTATACTCAAGAAGACAAAAAAAGATAAATATCTGACTTCAACTACCCAGCACAAGCTGGTGTTCCGGCTTTGTACAGTATTTATACCTGTATATTATATGCTATAAAGAATTTCTGTGACATTAAAATTTATTAAATAAGGGGAACATCTTTTTGTAATAACAGAGAAACCACTGCGTACACTGATTGTTATGAACTGTAAACTCATAAAGCAGCTAATAATATTGAGCTTAAGGTTCACTGCAACATCCATGATGCCTGATGTTGCCTGATTTCTTCTCATCTTCAGTAATACACTGCCTTAGCTTTCCAGCTCTGTAACTTTCCCTGATGCTGAGTGGTCCTCAGCATATTCCAACATTCCCTTTTCTCTGTCCTCCTGCTCAGTGCGTCTCCTCTTGGCGCTGGTAAAAAGCTGCCAAGGCACTGTGAGAGCATGGTTGGCAGTTTAGTCCACAGAAGAGGAGCCCTTCCACTGAGTTATGTCCCTCTGTAAAACAACCCCCTCAGTAACACTGTACACGGCACTTGGGGAGACTTCTTTGCAGACTTCCAACAAAGAAAGGCTAAGCAAAATGCTTTGAAGAGCTGAGATCAGTCGCCATTGCGGTATCTCCCACTGAGAGCTTATATTCCTGCCAGGGAGTTAAAAAAGGGAGTGCTTTGGTGTCCCAGTGTCCTTCATACCATGAATTCATTGTTGCCATACAAAATCTGCTGTGGTAGGTCTGAAGGGTCTCTGCCGTGCCCTTCACCATCTCTGGAGTGCCTCCTGGTTGAATGCTTGGCCCCCCTTAGTTTCTGTTTGCCCCTCTCTGGATTGAAGGTGCCTCTGCTAATAAACTGGGGAACTTCATCGTATGACCCGTCCTGATCTCCTGTCGGGCTCATGTCTGCACTGTCGGATTGGGAGGCCTGAGATGTATTGAGAGCCTGGGCCTGGGCTGAACCTGAGGGAGACTTGTTGTTAAAACGAAAGCGTCGGCCTGTGGCAGAGGACATTGGCTGAAAGTGTGATGAAGAGGAGTAGGAGGAAACACTGGAGCATGAATCCACTGAGTCCACAGAGTCAGGCTGACGGCGTAGACCACGTCTTCGGGGGCTCTGTACGTCAGATCTCCGAGGCCAGGGGGAAGTCACCATCGGACCTCTCTCTGCAAGGGAAAGCCAAAACATGTCAAGATTAGAGGTGGTATTATAGCTTTTCTGCCTTATACAGAAAGCACTTGTAAGGTGAAAGGAGTTGGGAAGTAATGAAGTATAAATACTAAGTTACTGTACTCAAGTACAGTTCAGAGGTACCTTTACTTATTTGTCTGACAACTTTTACATTAACCCCTTCTAATTAATACTATATTTAATACAAATATTTGCACCTTTCTGGTCCTACATTTATTATAATTACTGCAAATATTTTTTTTCAAAGGGAATTGTTATAGATTTTTTTGCATCCTTGTAGGCATCTTACCCAACCTTTCGAAAATCTCAACCAAAAATAGAGTTGACAAGACCAAAAAACGACAACTCCTTTGGATATTAAACACTATACTAACATCATCTATAAGAAGTTAGAATGATTCATAAATAATCTATCAGAGCCATAACAGCATGGTTAGGTTGAAAAGCCTCCAAAATATGACTTGAGGTTCAGCTAATGGGGCACAGCAGGAGGAACTTTGGAGGTTTCCTTTTTAATTTTATTCTTTAAGTACATTTTAGACTCTCTAATTCTTAACTATTACTTTAGTGAAAAGTTACTTCTGCTTTAACCTGTCTCTTTTTTATACAAGTATCCATACTTCTGCTTGAGAGAATAGTGAGAATACTTTTGCCACCTCTGAAGGTGAGTCAAGGTTTCCTGCCTGATGTCATACCAGAGAAGTCAGAAATGGTTCCTTCAGAGTCCACGTTGAGGTTTTCAGAGCTGTCAGCTGTACCGATAGAGGCCTCCGACTCCAAGGTCTCATCATCTGATGCTCTAGGCTCCAGAGCCAGCATCTCAAAAGTCAGTTCCTCTCTGCAGAGGCAAACAATATGCAGATTAGCTAAATGAACTGAAAAGCCAGTTTAACAGCTTATTATATGCAAACTTGTAACATATATTTACAATTCTTATAAAGTTTTTTGTAAAAGTTAAACTCCAGTGAAAGTGTTTACTTTTCTTTCTGCAGGCTCTCAATTTGCTCAGTCAACACTCTCTCTTCCTGCTGCATGGCTGCCTGCTGATGCTCAGAGATCTCTGGTAAAGAGTCGGCTCTGTCTTCGCCATCACTTTCTGTTATCACAGCGTCAGGCACATACGGCAGCCGGGGACTAACGGGAGGCGAGGGCGTGTGGTAGCTGAGTCGCTGTACGTGTCCTTTTCCCTTTGAGACAAATAAAGGACAGATGTTATCCTCTATGTAATATAAATATATCACTTGTGCTCCATCACAAAGCAGTTCACCAGCACCAAACAAACAGTTACAGTACATTTCACCACTTATAACTTTGAGCTATTCACTTGCACATGCAGTGAATGATCCACATGAAATGACAAGCCAAGGTTAGAACAATACCGCAGCACTAAACCACAACATAAATACAGCACAATACAACACAAACATTACCTTTTTGGCTGCATTTGGCTGCTTAAAAAGTAAAGTGAGAAGCAAAGAAGAGGAATCAGTAAAGCCGTAAAGGTCCTAAAGGTCAGTTTTGTTCAGGTTATTCCCGTAGTGGAGCAATTACTGTAAGTTACTACAGTAGTTATTTTTCCAGTATTTAAAAATGAAGATTTATGTAACAATACAAAAGTGTGGGAAATCAATTGGGAAACTGCATTTGAGGGATCAAGGCAATAAATGTGTATATCTATGTCTATCCATTTCTACAAATCGAAGACAGATACTATAAGAAAGATGTCTGCTGATATATCGTTATCTGATTTTTTTTCCCTACCAAACATCGATATCGGCCCCAAAAATTCCATATCAGTCGGGCCCTAGTTTTTTGCATTCAGTATATTCTGTAAAATTTCCCTTATTTGTGCATATTGGAGAAGATAATCATGTACTGATATATCTGGGACAAATCATATCAGAGCTTAACTGTAGACTATACCGTATTATCTGACCATATAATTAAATTTACATCGGCAATGTTTGTTAAATACAACAAATACATGTTTTAAGTAACAGCACAAGCTGAAATTGTGCACTTTGAATGTCCCACACTACATACACAATCGGGCTGTTTTTGATAGTTTTGTAACGTGAATCATCAAAGATACATATCTTATAGACTAACACATACACACAAAAATAAAATAGAATCAAAAATAGAGACTAAGTGAAGTGATGACTCATGCTTTAGGGGATGGAGAGGATGCACATCATTTTTTTTTAAAGAAATGAGACCGAGCAGTGATCGCTACAAAAACAACAACAACACCACCAGTGGATGATGGTTTGGGGTTGCAATCCGTGGTGTGTGTATACATACCATAGTGCGCGCTATGCTCAAAAATCTAACAGCTATTAGTGCGGGTTTCTGAGTAAAGGAAAGGACAGGTTAGGTGGAAGAATATGGCGGAGACAAACAGCTCAACAAGGAGGAAATCAGGGAAAGTTAAGCACTGAAGGAGTTAATAGTATGGTTCAGTCAGGTAGATTTAGCAATGGCTCAGTGGTTATTACGACATTTATCTAATAAGAGTAAGTCATAGTCACGTTATTTGATCTTACCATTGATCGCCTAATGAGGGTCAGTCTGCACTTGGCTTTATTCTCAGCAAACTCCAGGCTGCTGATGTCCTTTAGTCGCACTTTGTACTTATTCATCTGTTCACAGATTATAAGTTCTACACACCTGAGGAGGGATAGAAAGAAACAAACGATGTCAGAGGGACAACATCACATCAAAACAAAACGATAAGTTCACATGGAGTTACCAAAAGAATCAAACACTTCTGACACACTTGTGAGTTAAAGCAGAGATATGAACCGAGTGTTTTTCGTCTTTTAAGCCCCCTTTTTGACCTTCATTATGAAACCTAAACAGAGATGAACCTACATCAGAGCAGACAGACTGAAAAATGAGAAAAAAACAACAAACAATGAAAAGTATACTGCAAATAAATCATCAAACACTTTTTAAAATCCTTTTTTTTTTTTTTTTTTTTTACAAATCATAAAAGGAGTTGGAACACGTATAAACTTATTGTTTAAACTTTTAAAACATAAAAGTGTTTAAGGGGGTTGTTTAAAGTTCTTATCTAACCATTGTTGGGGAATTTTCTGCAAAAGAAGCCGAATTAAACTTGACATTTCATGGAAATAATATTGCCATTGTGTGTTATGTAGTGATGATATTTTCTTCTACAATGATAATCAATCTGAGGAGAACTTCACTTGACTTTGACATTAAAGTTTTTACTTCTTTTTACATTTTCTCTTCTTCTCTGTCCAAACATTGTCAAGTCTGTGCTCTCACTGCCGTTAATGAATGTTAATAAATTAGATCATGATAGCCTTGAAAGAGTTCCGTTCCTTATCTCCACATGATACAGATTAATTCAAACTTTTTTCCCCTCCTGATCATGCGAATCCAAACTTACACACAATAATTCATTTTATAGACATGAAATACATCCTTACGCTGTGGTCTTGCTGATGTCCTGGACGCTCTGCAGGGGATCGATGGTGTCCGGACAGCGCAGGATACACGGGGCAAAAACTATAGCCAAGGCGTTTGCTGACATGCGGTTTGTTTCCTCTTGCAAGGCGATCCTGACGAGCACACATACAGTATAAGTATTTTTATCAGCGAGCAAATAAAGCAGTTTAACGTCTAAATCCTACTCTGAGATTACAATAAGACTATTCATTACCTGACAAGATGAAATATGAGGCGTTCCAGAGTGTTTAGGTGAGTTCTGCTTAGCTGGTCAATAATTGAATATACCGCTCGGATGGTTTCTTTTTTATCCCGCAGACCTGAAGAGACATTTCCAAGAGACAAATCATTATGTATGGTCGAGCACAAACTGTATCGTCTGCTGTTCTCTGTACTGCATTATTACTCGGGACAGACAGTCCAGTGTGAAAACACAATAGAATTGGATGATTGATGCTGACCACTTACCCATAACACGTATAAACTCCTCATACAGCTCAAATGTCATCAGAGGATTAGGCAGCTCTCTGAGCCACTGCTTGAAAACACTCCCAATAACATGGATGTTGTAGTCATCCAGGTTTGTGCTGTCCACATCTGTGTGTTCAAAAGAAGAATGTTTAGTAATCACGTTTCATTTCTAGAATGTGTAGAAGGAGTAGATTTAGCCTCTTGGTTTAAAAATGAAGCAAATACAGAAGTGCCTTAAACCACAGAGTTTAAAAGGGTTGACACCTTTTGTTTAAAAAAAGTTGGATTTGATGAAACCTGATGGGAAAATGAGCCTATTTTCTAACTCGTTTTGAAATAAACAAGATACTTGTGCTCAAGCCCTTTGCGCTCTCTTCCCAGAGCTAATGCACTGCTGATAAGTTACATAACCAACCACATCGCCCTTAGAGGCAAACAGCTACCTTCAACAGACCCAGGCTCCGTTCATGTGAGCTCCAGGTATTGACATCTACCAAATGGCCTCACATTTCACAACCTCTAACCGGCATATCCCTTCACCGACGTTTCACCGAGTTTGGTCCAAGACACCTTGGGAAGCTCAACAGTTTGCTCTGGCGCTCATCACCATGGCCAGTTGCTAGTTCTAAAGTCTTCTACAATTAAGCATTTCAGTATTTTTCCTAAATGTTGCTCCTATTTAGATTAAAACACACATTCATTTAGATATGCTTCAACATGTGGCTGACTGTGATTGATGAATAACCATCATAGCAGCCTGTCAATCAGAATAAATACATATAAAAGTGTTTCTACCCTGTCGTCCAAATATGTTCTCTTCTAGTTCAACAAAACCAAGATGGTGAAAACCAAAATGCCAAAAGGGATTTTAAGAACGTGAGTTCAGAAAACCAGTGGATGACATACATTGACCACCTCCACTTCTTTAAAACAGACTCTGCTTTAACCCCACCAGGTAACATCATTCATCTGTTATATGAAATCCACATCAATAATTACCTGTGTCAAGTCCAAGCTTGAGCTCTTTGATTTTGTTGGTGGATCCTGATTTTCTGTATATTCCTTCAGTGTAGACGCCGTGCATCTCTATGTAGTTTATAAGCTTCTCCACTACTAACGGCACCGCCCTCTCATCGTTAGTCAGACGAGAAACTTCAACAGCAAACTGTCTGGAGGAAAGCTCTGGATCAAACTGTTTGAAGAAACAGACAACACATACTTTGTTAAAACACAGAAACAAGCACACAGCCTGTATCGTATATTTAAATATATCACCACAAGTTTATACGTTTTGCAGATGTAACACTGGCTACTGTACATGAGCCCACAGTCACACAATTAATGTCATGGGATGTTATTGATTAGGCGCACAACATGGCTGACTCACCTTCTTACTGCATTTGGTGGTCGTCTTCTGGCAGCACTTTCTGTGGCAGGCGTAGCGACACACTGGATAAACACAGCCAGAGAAATCAAACAGGTCATTCCCATTATCCACAGAGAGACAGTGCCTCCTCATTATTCAGCAAACAGTACGAACAAAAGAAGAAGAAAAAGTTATCGTTTGAGAGACCATAGCAACATCGGTGTGAATATAAAGCACAAGCTGTGTGGAGAAATGTCCGCAGAGAGTGAGCAGCAAACCCCATGAGTCCAGTTGAAAACAATCTGATTAGACGGGAGGGGGGAGAGGGCGGGTCACGCTCTGTCAGGCTGGACTGAGCACATCCTAGTGTGTCTGTGTGTGTGTGTGTGTGTGTTTGTGTTGTGTGTATAAGTTCAAGTGAATGATTGTATAAAGATAAAGTGAACAATATTTGATGTTGATGCTTCTATTTCCCGCAATATCAGCTACACATATGTGCTAGGACGGTGATTTATCTTTTAGCTGTTGATTATTTTGTCAATTAGCTGATTGATCTACTAGTAAAGAAATGATCATGAGGACCAAGAAGTGACGCTGTCAACTGTTATTCATTCACCTGCTGAGCCATGCTCATTGCGATACAGCAGAGTTGAAGGCATGATAGACGACAATACTTGAATACACATTTTTCTGCTACACTGAAATGATTTGTATCTTCACCCTGGCAGCTCAAAGCATGTACACTCTCATCAGAGTCTCAAGGTGAGCACTCATGATTCAGACACTATTTGAGTTTACAACCAAATGTTAAAAAATGTCCCTATCCCCGCCTTCTGTTTATGGCATTAAAACACACAAAGGTGTGTTTCTTTCCAGTTGACAAAGATGATGTCATAGTGAAGTTAACAAACTTGAGAGATTGTTGCCATGACTTTTGTATGAATACTTTTTGGAAAACCCTGCTTAGTGAGGTCACAGAGACCTTGACTTTCACCACCGGAATCAAATCACCTTAAATGGATTAGACATTTCTGCCAAGTTTGAAAATATTACATCAAGGCTTTCCTGGGATAACACATTTATAAAAAGAGGTTGGACCTACAAATAAAAACACTTTCTGACACACATAATGACAACAATGTTATGTCAAAAACCCTTTTAAGACATTTTCAATAACTTCTTTATGATTGAGTGATTCTGCAGCTCTGCTGGATTCCTGCTGTGATACATTAAACACATACTCACATTTGCACACACAGGCCCGGTCCATCATCCAGATGAGTGACTGGCAGTATTCACAGTATGTGGGGATGCTGTACTGGGTGGACTTGAAGATGTGGCCGTTATGCTCCTCCACCTGCAGGGTGCAGCAGAGCACAGGGTTCATTTAGAGTTCACCTGAGTTTTTTTCTTTACCACTCACATGTCTGTTTTACTTTTTTTTCTTTTCTTTTCTTTTTTTTAAGTCATTTTCTATTCAGGTCACTGATGTATTTATATCATGTTATTCCAACGAGCATGAATTGAGGTGTTGAAGGGTTGGCTGTTAGAGGAAAGAGTTTTTCTTTCATGCCTTATGAAGTCATGAGAATGAATAGACACTTACAATGTCGGTGTCCTTTTTCCTCCGCTTTTTACGTTCAGGTTTAGGTGCCTGCTGTAGTGGGAAAAACACAAAAAGAGAAGCGCAAATATGTTTAAGAAAGAATCCCTTATAACCTTGTATTTGGAAGATTTATGTATAAATGTTGCACACTGAAAGGTGACACTTTCCACATTTCCACATGACAAAATGAAACTCTCTTATTTGAACATGAAACAGCTGACTTGTATTTCTTCAACGTTATCCCAAAGCTGTCTTTACCTTGCTGAGTGTGCTGTCCAGAGGCTTGTACTCTGTCATGAACTCATCCAGGAAAACTTTAAAGGTGTTGACCCACACTTTGACAGGAGACTCTCTCCAGTCCCTCTGCTCCTGTCGCATAGTCTTCTCCAAGATCTGCTCGAACAGAGCGTACAGGTCTTTGTAGCGGATACTCTTACCATCATCCATCTAAGGAGAAACAAGACAGAATTACAAGAGGTGTGCAGTATTATCTCCTTAAATATAATGTACTCCTATACACGGCTGACATTTTGAAACCTTTGCCTAACCATTGAAAACAGTACTGGAGTTTGATTACAATGTTTTGCTTTTAATCACTGAGCTTGAGTAGGGATATCACAAGTTATATTTATAGGTAGGGAGTATCATTTTAAAGAACTTTTCCCATTTTAAAGGACAGTGTATAAACTGTTGGCAGCACTTACAGCGAGTGCAGTTGAGTAAGAGTTGAAAATGTTGAGACGGAACTCCTTCAAAGCCTTTTTAAAGACGACGTCCACCATGGTGTCCTTCTTACTGTCCTCTGTGTCCAAGTCGTTGATCTGAAATGTGACACCAAAATTGTATTACAATAAACAAATATTTTAAAGGTTGAAAAATTAGCAATATAATCCTCATATGTACAAAAGAGAATAGCAGAAAGTATGCCTGGCTGTACCTTCTTCATCAGGAAGTCGTTCATGCTCCTGTAGTCGTTGGTGCAGGTGAGGATCTGCAGCGAGTCGTTCTGCCACTGAGCCGACTCCAGAGCCACGCTGCTAATCTTAACGCTGCGCCTTCGCTTCACCTTAGGGGACGGCTCCTTGTTCTCCTTCAGGTCCCTGAACCCTCGATCCAACGTCAGGTCAGGACTGCAGGGGGGCGACATGTTTTCCTGACCTGCTCAGAGGAAGAGAGTCTAATTCAGTGGAGGTCCTTCTAGTTCTGCAAAGTGACCTAAAAACCCCACATCAGGTGCAGTTTGAAAAACAACTAATGGTCTCTGATCTGTACGGTATTCATCATTTCACACATTGTTCAAGCAGAAATCACAACGTACAGATTCAAGCTTTTAAAATGTGAGCTTCTGCTGTTATCTTTCAGGTTTGAACTGTTGTTTTGACTACTTTTTGTTTTTTTTAAACATCACTTTGGGTTCTTTGAAAATTGCGATCAGCTTTTTTTGTCCCATTTTTGGGCCATTTTACTGAACACAAAGATGCATCTGCAACCACCATGTTGAATAACACACCTTCTCCCAGCAGCGGTCCTGTATCTCCATAGTCTGCATCCACTGAATCAGCTCCACAAATCAGCTTCTCTCTGGACGTCTTCTTATCTCCGTACTTGGTCTTTCCCCAGAAACGCATCTTACCACGAACCCTGATCGGAAAAAAAAGAAGACTCTGAGTTGGAAGAAAACGGTGTTCAAAATGTAAATATCTTTAATGTTTAAGTGAAAAAACAAATTCTATGGAGACTAAGGAATAATGGAAATAAGGTTCAGGGCAAAACAAACCTCCCATCCTGCGAGCTCTTGTGCATTGAGTCCGATTTGCACAAATCTCCCGATGACATGACTTTGTGAAGTTTCTTTTGCTCCTCAGTGCTCGCAGGCTGAAACAACATGAGGTACAATAAAATGGTAAAGACACGGCTGAAGTGAAGCAAAGCCTCCCTACTGTGCACTTTCATGTGATCAGGTTTGTTGATAGCTGAGGACACGTTTAAGCCAGTAGAGGGCAGCATCACATCACTGTAGCAGCACAATATGTTGTACAATAACTGAAATACTATATGGTATTTAGTTTAATCATAATTATTTAACAGTGATAATAGGATGCAGTAACACATTAAACATACTTTTAAGATAAAAAAAAATATATTTATGCAGGAAGACAGCTGTTAAGAAAAGAGAAACAGTTTGTTAGAAAGTCAAGAAGAGTGACTGATGAACATTTCAAGGAGTTCCACCGTTCGGTTTATGAGCAGTGTTACTCCTACAAGAGAAAATATAAAGAAGTGAACATGCAAATATTGTTAGTGAATGAGGAGGGATTAATGAAGCAGAAAAGTCTCTGTTAGTACTGTGAGAGAAAGATAAGTGTGTTAGAGGAGAAATGTAGTTAGAGGATTCATATCTTACGGGGAAACATATTTCAAAGCTTTGTCATGCATTAATCAGGATTCATGAAGTCAAATGAAGCATCTCTGTGGATAATGATCTCTGAAGTGATTGTGCAACCAATCAAGTATCAGATTTATGTTTGGATGATAGCCTTAAAGTCATGTCAACACATGAAATTCTTTCTGAAGAACTGTGTTTTGGTTCTATCATCAACCATTATTTCAGAAGGTGTTTCAAATCTTCTTTGAAAAACCTGCCTTGAAATACTTTGAAATGTCTTCCACCCTCGTGAGAAGTTATTGTGCATTAAGTTTAGAAGCTCAGTTTGAGTCAGAGGTGTGCTGCTCTCTCTGTTGAAGGGTTAGAGGTGTCAAAGAGAAGCCACGTTTAAGAGCGCAGAGAGGATCACTGGTGGCTTTGTTGGCGCCTGTTACCATGTCTGAGTCACTGAAACAGGACTCTCCTAAGCCCGCGTCTGAGGAGCTCTGTTTGGAGAGCGGCAGAGTGTAATGACGGGGGCTGACGGGGCTGTCGGCGTCATTGTCATCCTCGTCTGTATCGCCCCCCACTGAGGTGATGGGGACGCGGGTGAGGAAGTCGGAGCGGGTCCGAGCCATTCTGGCTTTCTTTTTTTGGCCCACTCTGCCAACCTAAAGTTTGTTCAAAGTGATAACAGCATGATATTTAAAAAGGTGCCTTTCAGAACCTGTAGACATTTTGGTTCCTCAGGTTTGCTCCTCATGTGGGTCAGTTGTTAACGTTTGGATGATTATTAATCATTTACAGGACAATAGACTGTGTGAAAGAAGTAAGAGTAGCCACTCTGATGTCACATGAAAGAACGATGATGATGATATTCAGCCATTTTTGAACCTGAAGTGCCCATGTATTTAGACAAGAGTCTAGGTGTGCAATGATACATCTCTACCCTGACTGACAGGTCACCAGGTCGCAAAATGTCAACTGCAAGGTAGCCAAGCTTTAAGCATACCACGTGTTACCATCTACAATATCATCAACAGGAGCATGATTTAGATAATGTAACGTGTTTGTAAAACTCATTAGTAGATGGACTTCAGGGGTAATAAATCACTTCAGGGGTCATAAATCAAATGAAAAGTAGGGTTATTTTTCTCAGATTCTTCCATAAGATCAGACTGTTTTTTGTAACTAGTCGAGTTGCCCCCTGCTGGCCATTAGTCAAAATGCAGGTCTAAGGCTTATGGATTAGCTTTACTTCTTTCATACAGTGTACGTTCACAACAAATCAAATGCACAAAAGCAAACCCACAAACACATGCTGCATGTCTGTTTTCACAAAAAGAAATCGGTGTGATGACTCACATCTCTGGATTTTGATCCTTTAGGAGGCTTTGGGACCGGAGCGGGACTCTCTCGTGGGGCGGTTGCAGGTGTTTCTTTAGGAACAGCATCACCGTCAAACCTGAGGGACAAGAAGAAGAAAACAAAAAGACAAAATTCTTATTAAAGTGAAGTAATAATCTTCAAAAAGAGCTGAAATCAGAGCGTCATAAAGACTGTGGCTACAGAGGAATTATGTTATTTTTCTTGAGAGGCCAATGTTAATTTGAAAGCCTCTTTGAAATTGTTCAGAATTGTTATCATTATCCCCTGTTGTGTCTTTTAACTTGTTTTTTTATGTGACTATGACTTTGTATGGCTGCCATCTTGGCAAGGTCTCCTTTGCAAGTGATTTTAAACCTCAATGGGAATTCCTCGTAAAATAAAGTAAATAAAATAAGATGTATGTTTACTTTAAAATTCCTGTTATTTATCTATTTGTTGTTCTGAGGTTGTCTTCTTCTCTTTTGGGAGCTTGTATTTTTATTGCTAATAATGTGTTGGATGACATGTCCAAAAAAGTATTTGGGGACTAAACAACTTTAAAATAGGCACAACATATACATAGTTAAAGGGAAAGACATAAAAAGAAACATCAACAAATTCACTACTCACTTTGTAAACGTGACGTTGTCCTTTGGGGAGAAAAAAATGTTGCCTGGTTTGTCTTTCATACTGACTGCGGTGCTTTGATTACTTGCGGGCTTCTTTGCTGCTGTTCTCACCCTGGTTCCTCCATCTTTGGTCTCCAGGGTGAGTTTGGGTGCCCAGCCCTCGGCAGGAGGCCTGGGTCTCTCTCTGGGAGCAGATGCTGGTGGGGGAGGCAGCTGTGGTCGGGGCGTCTGGCGCTGGATGTCTACACCTGGGGGAGAGTGCACTAATGGGGGAGTGGAGCTAGATTGTGTCCTGGCATGAGGAATGGCTCCTGCTGTCCTCTCTATCAGCAGTGAACTGGGCCTGAGGGGCTTTCCAGATGTTGCAGCTCCACCAACATCTTGTCCGTGTCCCTGTCGACTCTGCTGGATCTTGTTCAGAGCTTCTCCTCTCTGTTTCTCAAACATGTCTCTCTCGTACTGAGCGAAGAACAATCGCTGGCGCTCCAGCGCTTCTTTCTGCTGCCTGATCTGCTCCATCATCTCCTTCTCGTTCTGCTGCTGCTGATTCCGCTGCCGCACCTCCTTCTCCTCGTTCAGTCGCACCAGCTTCTCGATGACGATAGGGTCGGCCTGGGGGGCCGATTTAGGAGCGTGGACGGGACTTTGAGGCACAGGAGCTGGGCCTGGTTTCTGCGGGGACGGCGTTAAATCCCCTGTCTGAGCTGCAGAATCTCGAACCTCCACAGGGGGACGGATGATATCACTCAGCTCCTCACTTAGTGGGGTTTCTTTCTGCATACTGATGACCACCACCACTGGCCTCCGTGTGGATTCTTTCCTTTCTTTGACAGACTTGATAACAGTAGTGGTGGTGGTGGTGGTTGTGGAAATGGCTGCCTCTCGGGTTGGCTGATCTTTTTCTGCAGGAGGAACAGAGACGACTGTGCTGCCCTCGCTAGCAGGGACGTAAAAGGTAGGGAGGTAGTTCTCGTTTTTGGGCGGACTCATGGGCGCAGATGGGGCTGTCTGATCCATTTTTTTCTGGGGTTCACTACCTGCGTGAGCTACAGCATCAGACACCTCTGTCCTGTGGGGTTCGGCGGGCATTGGGCTTGTTGAGACCACCTCTACAGGAAGCTCTGGTTCAGGAGGGAAAGAAGGCGGAGGGGAGAAGCGTCCTCGCTGTCGGTCACCTCCTCTACAGCCTTAGGAGCCTCGTCTTCCATGCTGAGAAGCTCAAAGCTTCCTTTGGAGCTCTGGCTGTCGGGCGTTCCCTGCGGTGAACATAAGGGCGGGGTCACAGAGGGCATCAGCTCCACAGACCAGCGCCTCTCCTCAGATGGCGACGACGCACCACCACCTGTGGCCCGCACTTTGAGGAGCTCCAGGCTGAACTTTGCCTGCTCCAGCTCCCTCATCCGCCGGCTCTCTCGCTTGGCACGGTGGTCTTCTGGCTGGGCTCGTCGACAGTCCTAGACCTCTCTCGTACCACCACACCCGACATCTGGATCGCTTCAGTTTCCACTTTAGAGATGCTCTCTGTTCTCTCAGCATGTTCTCTTCCTTCTCCTTCATCCTTTTGTGCACCCTCCTGGCTGCTGAGGATTTGGAGGCTCCTTTCCCGCTGTTGGTAAGAAGGATCCTCCCATGTGCTGATGTCCAACCCCATGATCCTCTCCTCCTCTTCCTCTGGAGAGAGACTCACCTGGCCATTCTGTAGCTGAAGCACTTTCTCCTCAAGCTCCTTCATCTCCTTCAGTCTTTGATCTCTCAGTTTTCGGAAGCTGTCAAAAGAGAAGGCAGGATTACAACTTTCCATGAGGTGAATATACCTCCAGCTCCTCTCCTCAAGATATATTCTAAACAGGTCGAGTTCATAACGAATAATTTGTCCCAGAAGTTTTCCCTGAATATAGAGTCGGATTTAGTTCTTGCTCTCAGCAGGCTCAGCTAATTGTAACAGCTTTGAGTTGGACTGCTTGCGTCATTGCACGCTGTAGTCTATAAGCAGTCTGAACAATGACTAAATACAGTGCAGCAGCTGAGCACCAAGATTAATCTGCTTTTTTCACCAGATTAAGAAAAATAATGCATTCTTGAAAGCTATTTTTGGAGAATAAAGCCTTAATAGAATGCTTAGTGTTGTTTTCTTTTGTTATACTCAACTCATCCATACCTTTCGTTTTCTAAAGTAAAGGGTCATATAGTGTGACTGTGTGGTTTTACCTCTGCCTTGTGAGGTAGCCTCTGCTGTTAGCCTGCAGCTGTACCACAGCTCCGCACAGACGTAGGTATGCTTCTCTGGCTTGATGACAGCGCCAGGCCGTCTGAATAACCAGAGCCGCTGAGCAACGTCTGGAGAGCCATAACCTCCACGCTCTCTGCAGCACCACAGCAGACTCCCTCCACAGCCGGAACCTCTGACGCTCTCTGTAACCTCGCCAGTGAGTCTGCAGACATAACGCGGCCCCCTGCTGAACTGAAGGATCATAATCCTCCTCCTCATCTTCATCCTCCTCTTCTTCTATGGGCCGGTATGAGTGCCACCATTTCTGTGTAGAGATGATGAAAATGATATATTATTTTCAAGCTGTTAAAATCCTTAATTTTCTTTAAACCTTTTCTCATGTTTACTGACTTTAGACACTAGAAGTCCAAATGTCATCACACAAAGCATGATTCACATTTTCTTGTTTATGAATGAAAACGAGTAAAATCCCAACAACACTGAAGAGGTCTTTGAGAGAACAGCTGACTTAAACTGTATTTGAGTTTTTTTCTTAATACATTTTGTAGACATTTAAGCTTATTTACAGTTCAGTAACTTCAGCTAAACAACTTAAACATATTTGATATCAACAAAGATTTACAACAAGTCCTTGAATTTAGTCAATTGTCTCCTGAAAATCTACAATCTCTGCTAAACTAAAATAACAATATCATATGGAAAACATTGCTGATCTTTATAATTTTCACAAGACAAAATGTAAGCATAACAGATTATAAAATGTATTCAAATGGATCCCATGCTGAATTACAATACAACTATAGAAATAATTCAAGAGGGGCGCCGGTGGCCTAGTGGTTTGCTTTCGTGCGCCCCATGCACAGGGGCTGTGGTTCTCAACGGGTGCGGCCCGGGTTTGAGTCCGACCTTTGGCTACTCCTCTCTCTCTCTCTCTCTCTCTCTCTCTCTCTCTCTCTCTCTCTCTCTCTCTCTCTCTCTCTCTCTCTCTCTCTCTCTCTCTCTCTCTCTCTCAAAAGCCAAAAAAATAAACCTTGAATAAATCCTTGTACATCTACAACTTCCCTGGTATCTAGAGTCATACAAATATTGGCAATAATTCTAGTTTTAAAATGAATTGTTTTGAAGGACTTGGGTAACATTTGAAATAATATATTGCCCCATTGAAATAATTTAGGGCTAAAAATATGATTGTTTATAAGAGGTCCATGTTTGTCTCTAAAGCCTGGAAGAAACCTCGGGAGGGTTTGTTTTGTCAGTATTATTATTGTTTAGTGTCTACTTTTGGTTTCTGGTCTCTCTGTATTAATAAGGGTGTATTGTAAGCCTGTTTTGGACTGGGCATATTGTTCATACATGACACAGTAAAAAAATAAAATCAATCATGTAATGAAATGTGTTACATTGTTAAAATTTTATATCGTGAGCTTTTTCACTAAAAGCAAAAAACACTAAAAAAACAACTCATTAGTTTCTTGATTTATGCCTTGATTTATTCATTTTTACATCTGAATTAATGCAAAACATCTTGTAAGATATGAGATCATACATACTGATCTCATCTCATATTTTTCACATGTTACAAACACACCCAAAATCAATAGAATTAATACAGAATTATTGCTCTCTGTCTTTAAGAAGAAAAGAAAAAGGCTTAATTAGAGATAACAATAGAAATCAATGGAGGTAAGAGAGCTGTGACAATGAAAAGCAATCCACTGTACCTGGATGCAGAGCGCGGCTTCTCTCATTCTGACAAACTGCTTCCTCTCCAGCCGGCCTCTGAAGCGCCTTTGCAGCGTGACGATACGCCTGAGAACTTCTGTGTGCAGTAAGGCCTGCAGCTGCTGGCGCTCAGCCTCTCGCAGAAACACCTGAGGGGAGAGTCACACTTCATGAAGAGCAGGGTTGACTGACCACTCACAGATATATGTACACACCCACACTAGCTGTACATACTGTCACAAGTATGTCAGGTATGATCCTCTAATTATATAGACAGCATCCTGAAGGCAATGGACCCCTCCATCATGCCTCATTCATACTGAGGTCTTAGACACACCTAAAGTGGGGCACTGACTTCATTACATCCTCTTTTTTTCTCCAGAGGGAAGATTCCTTCAGGTAATATGAGGTTATGTCCAACATGGTCCTTTCCTTATGTCCATAACTCTATTTATAGTGGATGTCATTCAAAAGTTTAATAAAGTCAGTTCAAACCCACACATATATTTAGTAAATACATTTAGGGGTCTTGAACTTCATTTCCCAGATTCCCTTTAGTCTCAGCATAAAACAACATATAGTAGAACATGAAACACATAATAACATACAGCCTGGTATTATCACTGGTGTCACCAAACAATGAAAGAACAGAAGATCACTAAAGCACTGCTTTGCCAAAACATTTCATCTCACACCTGGACTATAGATTGTGATTTTATTTAACTTATTGAACCTTGATATTCCTATTAAGTTATTGGCAAAGAAGCTACAAAAGTTTGTTTTTTTCATACCAGACGTCCTTCATTTTCTGACTTTCCCATAACTAAACATATCTAACTTTGCCTTAGAAATGTTCAAAACAAGCTTTTTCATTCACTCATACACAAAAACATACAACTTTGTCATGAGTTTATATAAGATCTGAACTGCTGAGAGTTGAATAAAGCTCAACCTTTTGCAATCCATGTGTTATGGTGAACACATTATGTAGGCTAGTCCCAAAAAAAATGAGACCCACTGTATTTGTTTGTAAGATCTGCCCAGAAGAAAGGAGAAAGCAGGACTCTTACCATTGTCTTTCCCACTTGGTACCCATCTGGTTGCAGGTCGAGCTGATCCAAACACTCTTGGATGTCCTCTCTGGTGGCCCTGGTGCTCTCTGAGAGCAGCACGCTGAAGTGATGAACAAAATCCTGTCAAGAGAGCAAGAAGGACAGGTGTTAAGAAGAAAAACACCATAGAGCGGTGATTCTCAGCTGTGCTGCATGCATCACTTGGTGGTACCCAGAGCCCACTGCAAGGCTGAACGTTTGCACTTCAGGTGGCTTTAGTCCTTTATCCCAAAAAATAGCTAAATGTCATTTGATAACATATGATCAATGTATGCATGTACACATAAATTTGAAATGCTATTTAATATTTGTAAGTATATAAGAAATAAAACAAGGGCCGCTGGTGGTGTAGTGGTTAGTGCGAGGGCCCCATGTACAGAGGATGTAGTCCACAAAGTGAAATCATTGTCTGTATAAAAGAAGGGGACAAGGCCAAAGCCTCTAGATCATTTTTCTTTTAAAAATATCAAAACTGGGAAATGAATTGACTCTCTCCTAGTTCAGGTTGCCATGGGAGCAATTCACCAATCACAGGCATGCAACCATTATTTACAAAACGAGTATCACACTGTCATGACAAGTCCCCAAACTAGAGACTGAGAGCATTCAGTCATTATGAAAATGTTAACTCAAGTAATTCAATTAACTGAGAAATTGCATCATTTTGTTACCTGGTGTTGGATTTCTCTTTGCAACAGCAGTGCAGTTGCTTCATACAGCCAATTCAAATAAGTTTAAGGCACTTGCACACTAGTTTCACTTTTGAACCACAGAGGCTACGGCCCGCCTCCTTATGTACCGTCTTGGAGTGAAGTCGGACACATCATTAACTAACAAAACAATATAAGCTAAACACAGTCAGATTCAGACCCATTAGCAGAATGATTTGGATGTTTGAAATGGCCTATAGCTTCTAAAAACAGTACAATTTGTGTGTCTGTTGTTGGAAATTTTAGACTTTAGGATTTGGTTTGGAACATTGTGCTACATAGTCTGAAAAGTCTGTTATGGATCTTTGGTTCACATTTATGTTCTGTAAGGAGTCCAACAATAGATTTACCTTGCCCTAAAGTCAACAGTTTATCTAACGCTGATTCCATTAAAGGATCAACCGTTTGTGGGCGCTCACACATTGGTCCTGATTCTAAAATACGACTCTTGACCATGATGAGAAATTGAAGCAGAAGAAATAGCATCACTCAAGCAGAAAGCAGCTGTCAGGGCACATGTGGTTTCAGGTAAGAGTCCATGTTGTCCTTATTTGCAGAGCTTCAAACATCACGACACAAATATGCTGAACTCCCACTCCTCAAACTGAGGCCCATTGTCTGTCTTCAATACTCCGAGCACCCTGAGCTGCGGGGGGGTGGAGAGAGTGAAACAGATGCTGTGTTTATACAACTACAAGCAAGGGGAGTGTTTCAGAGAGCCGACACAATGGAGAGGCTCTGTTCTGATGTCTGAAGAGTCAAACAAGCGGAGTTCTCCACTGTGATAGCATGCCCAAGATATTTCTCATTAGTGCTGACCGCAGCTCAAAATATGTTTGGAGACATTTTTGGTAAATGACGACGTCTGATGGTAAAATCTGCTGAGTAAGATCATCAAAATAGTTACGTTGTGGAGTTGTTCCACTTGTGTCATGATGACTGCTCGCAAAGGGTCAATCCATACAAATAATAAAGTACATAATAATGTTTTAATACTATTTTGTATGTATTATTTTACATACTTTTATGTATGTAAATGTTTGTTGGAACTTTCTTAAGGAGGAATTTGAAGAAGAACGCCCTGTTTCCACCCAGCGGTCCGGTTCAGTTCGGTTCGGTTCAGTATGGCACCCATTTATTGACGTTTCCACCATCAAAAGTTGGGACTAGTACCAAAATAAGGGATCTGCACCGTCCTACCTTTTTGGTACCCTTCTGTTGGCTTGCCAAGGGTACCGATCCGACCATAAAGGGTCCCTTTTATTTACTGTGTCATACTCTTCTTCTTCACTGAACTTAATTAATAGCGGGCAACGCTGTTGGGCTGCTATGACGTCAGCGGCCATCTCCATCTGGCTTACACTCCGCTTACCAAATAAGGGTATGGTTGGCTGTGGAAACGCAAGCAAGATCAGGGTTAACCGTACCGAACTGAACCACACTGTACTGAACCAAACCGGACCGCTTGGTGGAAACGGGGCTGATTACCAGTTATTATGCTGTTACCCAGTAGGATTACGAGCTAAACATTACTTTACCTCATTCAGGATTCACTGGGTGTTATAAATACTTAGCGATTCCATTTTGATTCTTGTGTGCAGCAGGAGTCTTCGCTCTAAAGATCTCTGCACTGAAGATAATACAACCTAAACTAGCTGCACTGCTACAGTGAATAACACTATGTGCATGGAAAAATAAGCTGTAGTTAAAGAAGCAACTCACACAGCGACTTAATCTTTGCCTCAAACCTCCAAAGAACGTGACTGGCATAAGTTTACACAAAACTACCAAATGGAAACTACAGTGAGAAGAAACTGGAGTGGGAGTGAGCCTCTCCCCTCAAATCAGCGCTAAACATGATCCGTGTTATTAGTCAGTATTTCTCACAGGGTTGACATCATTTTTAAAAGAGCCAGTATGGTTAAGATGGCTGGCACACCACGTCCCCCATAATCCCCTCTTTACACAACACAGAATGGATCCAGGCTTCGACAACATGATTGATCACAGGAACCAAAAAACCCTGATGGAAAACTGAATGTGGATCTGAACATTTTGGGATGTGAGCAGTGAGGTTGATTGTGTATAACAGTTCAGCCAGCACAAACTCACTAAGAGGAAAAGCGGTATACATATATGCTGATGCTAAACTTCTTCTACACATTCTTCTGACGCTCAGAAAGAGTGTTTCTCTTTTTTGACAAGATATTTATCTTTTTTAGTCATTATACAGGGATATAAGTCAGATCATGTTTAAAGAGTATCTACAGGGTTCAAACCTGTGTGTGTGTGTGTGTGTGTGTGTGTGTGTGTGTGTGTTACCTTGAAGCTGTACTTGATGTTGTAACCCGATTGTCTGATGCGCACAGTCTCCAGCATGCCTGTGTACCGCAGCTGCCTCAGCACCAGGTTATCATTAAACCTCAAAGGCAGCTGAGAACAAGAGAGAGAGAGAAAAAGAGAGAGAGAGAAAAAGGAAAAAGAGGGGAAGATGATGGAGAAAAGGGGGAAAAGGGAGAAGCAACAGAAAGCAGAGGTTATGGGGAGAAAGAGGGGAGTGATGTTAAAAACCATTAATAAAGTTTAAACTTCAAAAAGGATTTAAAGTTGCTTTAATAACAAAACCAAAGCAATCTGCAGTGAGCATATTGTACCTTCTCAGCATTGGAACGGATGCACTTGACAAAATAAGGCTCAGACTGACCCAGAGTCTCCATTAGCTTATTGAGGGAGGCCTGCAGAGTGAGACACAAACACAGGATGTTAAGTACAACACATAGTCACTATAGGACACAAATACATAAAGTAAACAGACAGCTTGTTTATGTGACTCCAGTACTGTATAACAGTACAAAAAGTTGATGTTGGTTTATAATCCCCTTTTAATGTGTCAAGTTTGGTATCATCTCACCATATTGGGCCAACAAGGTGGAAGTATTGTTCCATACTTGGTACAACACGTGTGTTGCAAAATAGCAACCTCTGGTGTTGAAAAATAAAGCCAATGCAGAAGTGCAAAACACTGCAGTTTACAGAGGGTTCACTTGTTTCTGTCTCCAAAAGCAAAGAAATACCTATTAGGTCCCTTACTGTATCAAAATGTCTTTTTTTTCGAGCAGAAATAGCAAGGGTTATAGGCTGGATCCAAAAACGATGTGGTATCAATAGCTCATTTTACACAGTGGTACACACGCTCATCAATCACGATAATACCAAGCCTTACAGATATTCATACATTTGCATAATTGGGGGCGGGGTTAATTTGAGTGACAGGTGTGCACACTTTGCGCCAGGAGGTTTAACGTCCGCCTTATCTCTACCTATTTGCCCGTTAAAAGACTGACCGAAAGTTAGGTGAAGATGACTGCCATTGTGCTTCATAACGACTCATTAGAAAGTAATGGGTGATGTCACTGACTCTACGTCCAGGTTCTATACAGTCTGTTGTTGTATCTTGCTCTCTCCAATATAGTCATCAACATCTTTGTTTAATTCTGGTTAACAGGCCATAATTAACATCTTGCCCAACTCAGAGTTTACTCAAGTAGTCAATCAACTGAGAAGCGGGCTTATTTTCTGATCTTCAGTCATTTTCCAACCTGCAGTCTCCCCCTGCTGGCCATTAAAAAGACTGCAAGTAACGGCAATGCTACATTTGATTCACTTTAGAAACTTGAGGCTAAGTCCACTTTCTTAAGCAGTCTTTGGTCGCTCCACAGTTGTTTGACAGACTTATGGAGCCAAATCAGGTGGTTGTGTCCACTTTCAATAAACATATTAAACATTTTAAAGAAGTCCTTGCCTGAGATCATAAATACTGGCATTATGTTTATGAAAAATGTGGGCACATTATTTCCATGTGTAATTCTCCTGTGTGTGTAAACATGTGTACATGTGTGTTCGATAATTCAGGAGTGGGAGGAATTCAGTCTCCTCCCCCTCCACTGGAGATTAAAGCAATCAGCGCAGCACAGGATGTGGGAAGTGAAGTCATCTACACACACACACACACACACACACACACACACACACTGGAGCCCTGGCGACGTGCCAGAGGGGCCTCAGCGCTCGTCTACACCTCCAACAGCCACAGCGCAGAGTTCACTTTCAAAGAAATCTGGCACTTGGTTGGTTGTTAGATTTGTTTTCTGTGCTGGCGTGTAACCAGCTGTAAATGAGAGCTATAGATACCAAATTATTCTGAATGTTTCTGAAAGTTGTCAGTCTCACTTATCTCATATTTCTGAGAGATTTCAAAAAGAAAATCTTCTATCAACAGATGCCTTAATAGAGAGAAGAGAGCCAACATTAAACAAGTCTTTTAAAGCTACTGTGAGGAGTTTTTAGCTGATTATGAAATTAATATTGATGTTTCTTAATGAGCTTCAAAAGCAATCGTGACCATCAGTATAAAGATAGTCTATTTCTATATCATTATTGTTAATGCCAGGAACTACTGCCAGGGGGCAGGAGTCAAGTGGAGCGTCTGCTGAACAATAAGCCTTTGTTTGCTTTTGGTTTTCTTTAAACATTTTTTCACAGTGAAGATTCTTGATGAGTGAAAAAACTGATGGTTAAAAGGTTTCTTGATTTAAAAAAACAAACAAACCTGCGTACATGTACAGGACAAGATCAGCAAAGCCATAAGGGATGCAGTTTTGTCCACAGGGGGCGCCAAAATCAACACAAAATGAATGTTCCTCAAAGGAGCTTTAAGAAGAAGGAGTTAACCAATATTTAGTGATTGGATAATTCACTTTACTTTTTTTTTTTTTTTCTTTTCTTTTCTTTTCTTTTCTATCTCTCACCAAGTGAACATAAGTAATGACTTTCAAAAGGGTGTGTCAACAACTGACAAAAAAAACATTTCATTTTTTTATACGAGGCATTTTTTCTTAGATTTGCAGACATTATGTCAGACATTAAAGACATTTGGCTGGGCGTGTTTGAACTACGTAATAGACCCATTATGGACAAAAACAGGAGTAAGAGAGTGGACAGAGTAATGGAGTGACGTGTCCACCCACAGTCAGATGGAAAGAACATACTTTGTTTTTATCACATTCACAGCTGGAGGGAGATTCCTCCTTCAAACTCAGGCCAATCATGTGTTTATTTTAGTCAGAGCACTGGATGGCACATCTTTGAACTCGAACATGTCACTTGTGTGTGTATGTGTCCAACCTGGAACTGTGCGCTGATACTCGGCGGTTTCTTCTTCTTGTGCAGGTGAAGTAGCGACTTGGTGATGCGGTCATGAAGCGTCAGGTTGCTGAGGTACTTCAGGGACTTTACATTCAGTAGATGCTTCGGAAGAACTGGCTTGGATTTGTAGTTTTTGTTCCTCCTGTCAAGAACAAAAAAAACCAAATAGTTTCAGAGCACACAAATCCAGTTTCTTTTCCTTTGAATCAACAGGTGAGCAGAATATTTGAATTATTTTGAGAAAGTATCCCTAAGTGAGTCGTATTCCTGTCAATAAAATGTAAATGTATTCATCCCTGTGGGGAAAGTCTTCTTTTCACTTGCTCAGAGGTCAGGGTCGACTACAGACCAGCTCTTGTAGAGCTGGCAGGAATGTCGTGATCACTAAAGGAAACTTCACATGCCAGATGTTTGCTGACAGGGTTTGAACTCAGGTTTAAGTTAAAGGAGGCCTCTAGGCCACAGAATACCAGAATAACAAACACGACATGTTGAAAATAGTGCCACATTTTATAGATGTAAAAAAAGCAAAAAGCAAACCATTGAGTTGTGTTTGAATACTTCAAAATGGGGCTACTGACTAATCTCTGCCTCTGAGGTATAAGGGAGTTCATAGCCTGATGGTGACTGTGTATACATCTTGTTACTGACATGAGGATGTCGTGGGCTCTCTCCAGCAGTTTGCTGTTGGCAGAGTTCACAAAGATGCCGTCTTCTTCTGTGTTGGAGCTGCTGGTTGATAAACGGCTCTGTCGACTCATACGCCCGTTCCAGCCCAGGCCAGGAGAACTCCTGTGGACAAAACAGACCGACAATAATGATCAAATCTGAATGAAATCAAAACATCTAACACTGCTTTATGAGATTTTTGTAAGGAAACTGATCTCAGTATATATCCTGACAAAATAACAGTTCTATAGATTATTAAGAGACAGAGAAACACACGTTTATTGGTTTATCCTCTTTTTATGAATTGAAGTCGACAGTTATTTGGAGTTCCTGGAGTTTGTAAATTCAATATTAAAACTGTTTTATAACAGAAATTACAATATAACCTTTAACATTATGGGCAATTACTTTAGACTTCTAAGGTTAGCCGGGGAAAATCAAACATGTGTTTATTCCTTATCAGTTTTACAATTTATACATCCAAGCTAAACTTACATATAATATGTGAACCTCATTAAAACAGAGTAAAATAAAAGTCATGGAAAATGATACAGTGTCAGCACAGTCTTTCAACATATTGATGTTTTTGACATCTTGTTTCTGTTCTTTTTAAAACCATTTCATTTTTGCTTTTATTAAAGTGAAACTTGTGTCTTTTTATGGAAATGGTAAAGTTAATACAGATGTGTCAGCATTTCCAGGTCTTCTTAACTTCCTTAATAACATTAATATATCTTTTTGACAGATTATTTTTATCACTGGTTCTGAAGGGTCTTAGACATGACTTAAAAACCCAGATAGCTCTCTGGGCTCACACAACTGTGACAGAAGGTGTTTTGTCTTTTTGCTACTTCTCAAAGCTCCGATGGAGCTTAAAGAGCATCACACCGTGCTTTGTTTCTTTTCTTGTAAAGGGGATATTTGTTTACTTAGAAAAAAATGTGACCAGCAGGGGCAGTAGTTTCCATGTTTCCACTCACAGAGAGAGATATTCCTCTCACACAGACTCTGACACAGTTTACTGAAGCCTCGGAGGGTTTGAACCTCAGGCCGCAAGGTGAAACCAAACCACCTGCCCAGAACACAAGCAAAAACATGGGCGGTCAGGTCATGGAGAAACCATTAACCATTGTGGACTGTTTGAGCCCAGAGGAGAGGAGAAAATACAACAGAGGTAAATAAAAAAAAAAGACAAGAAATCTGCCCTGGTCTCTTTCTTTGGAAAGACAACCAGGTGGGACAAGATGGAGAGGTTTTAAATGGCTCAAATGAGAATCACAAACATGGGGAACTAAACTATTTATTCAGAAGCCTCTGGTTGCAGGAACAGGTGTTAATGTTTTTTTAAGAAGCAAGTAAGATAAGTTATCTCTGTCTCTGTTTACCTTCAACATGATTTTTTCCAGGTATAAAAACATGCAGAATGAATTCGCTCTGTTCGCTGTATTTTTTTCCTGAAAAGTCGCATCATGTCTGTAAAGACAAACATTTCTCTAGCTTCACCACTTTGGTCCAGGCTTAAATGTTTCAACAACTACTAGATGCATTGCCATGAAAATCTGAATGTATGTATGTATGTATGATTCCTGGAGAATTCTTTCTACTAACTTTAGTGACTCAAAGACATTACATCAAACACCTTTTTATCTAAATAAATCAATTATTTGTTTTTTGAACAAATAGCTACAAAACTAATAACAATTCAGATATACGTTTTGTGTACGTAGGGAAGTGTTGGCATAGATAGATGCTGAATGAATTATGATTTTGTTTTTGTTCTGGTTACTTTGCGTTGTCTATATTCTTGCTGTTTTTTTATGTTTTGCTTACGTCAAAGCACTTTGTAAACCTGTGTTTTTAAAGCTGCTATATAAATCAAAGTTATTATTATCATCATTATCATATGTAAACATTGTATCTGCTAATGTAAGACTTTCATTGGGAGCATTAGCATGCAAGTGTTAGCATTTAGCTTCAAGCAAAGTATCACAGGTTTCCAATGCGTTAGAAACCAATTTGTTTTTGTGATCAAGAAAATAGTTGGCCCAGGAAGCTGATTCATGTGTGGAAAAAAGAAAACGTAAAATAGTGTGTGCTGACTGGAAATACATTTTGGATGAATACTGAAAACAGAAACCATGTTTAAAATGAGAATACAGAGGTGTCTTTCTGTCTGTGGGGCCCATAAAAGGGACTCAGACACTGCTTCTCCAACACTCTCCACTTTTACGCTCACAGACTGTGTACATCCCCACACTCCCAGAGGAGTAGCACAGAAAAGGGATGACTTTCACTACCAACCTGCAATGCATTAGAATATAATAAATTATAGCAAAGAAGGTGAAGAAGATGATCAACTAGGGAGAAATCTTCCCCAGTCGATCGTGGATCTTAGTGACTGGTGACAGCACAATAAGCCTTTTGTAGTGACTGTTAATCTCCACAGTCTCTCTTAGAGCCCCATAAAGCTCCGCACTGTCCAAAAACGCTGTCCAGCTGACACGCACCCTGTAGGGTTTCCATATTTATCACTCCCCGGGCACTCCCCTCCGATGCATAGCTCTGCCTTTACATCACGAGAGGAAGCAGCTGCACAGAGTTTAGTGCTCTTACAGTCTGAGAGGATGAGCGTGAACGACCCAGTGAGTAAGAGAGAGAGACAGAGCGAGGGCAGAGGTCGCAAATCACATTAAGGAGGGATTTTAACAGCCCCAGACTGAGCTCCTGTGTAACAAAAGCTGTCTTGAACGAGCTGCTCTGTGCTACCAGTCGTGGACGTGGGCTGCTAATCTCGACGTCTGCGACTAATTAGAGGAGGTGGTGGACCGCGGTCTTAGCAGAAGGTACGAGGGCCACGTACGGGGTCACAGCACAATCTTCAGTTTACGACACATCAAACGCAGGTCAGACTCTTACCGCGGTGAAATCTCATTGATGGTGTTGCTCCCCTGAAGGTCAGACAGCGGCGTGCGTGGACTCCTTCTGGACACACCTGATCACGAACACACAGGTTGGCATCATGGGAAGAACACAAAATAACACGCACCACATACACACACACACACACACACACACACACACACACACTAGCACACAAAATCACAGAACTGACATGAAAACAAACAATCCGATCTTTTCAACCCTTCCCAAACATAAACAACCCGACACCACGAGACACTCCAGTGTTATTGCAAGTGAGCGTTAAGTGCCTTTTTATTGGAAATATGATCGACTGCAGGTGATCAGGTGATTCAATACTGAAACTAAGATCTGTGAGGTTAACAGTGAGTAGCTGGTGTTAGTTTCCATTTATGGAGGATGATACTGAAGCTGGACTGTAGCTTATAATTTAAAATATCAACACATCATGATTATCAGAGAGTTGCAGGATTGAATCCTAAAACCCAGAAATACATTAAAGTGCTTTGATAAATACCACTTGTAAGTTTTTATAAGTACATTTTTAGCACTTGCATACAAGTTGCTAAATGAGACGACACAGATTGTTAGTGACATTTAAAGTCATAACGCACGGACACATGTCAAGCTGTGAGGGTTAACATAGTGAGGTGATGGTGCTGCGGTTCATTTAAAGCATAGTTTTTTTATTTCCCTTTTTTTCCCCTCCAATTTCCCCTCAGGGCTTAATAAACTTTATCTATCTTTAATAAACTTGTTCTAACTGTATAAACTTGATCTATCTTTAATAAACCTGATGTATCTGTATAGGGGGCTGCGGAAATGTATGCTTTAAAAACAGTGGGGTTTATTTGTAAAGAAAAAAGTGTTGGACAAAAGAATAAAAAACACTTTTCTACAGATCTCTTCATTTGCACTGACTCTAAATTTTATGGAAAATGCCTTTAGTTTCTTGTTAAGGGAACTTGTAAGTAACAACCTGCTGGATTAGCCGACATAAATGCCTTAACCATGCAGAAATCAAAAGTGTATGGCGGACAGTAGACATTTAGGCAAACTGATAGGTACTTTTACGAAAAAGTTAAGAAAGTGTTGAATTAAGACTTTAAGCTTTATTAAGTTACTTCAGTGTGATGGCTGTTTTTTTTTTTTTTGCAGTGAGAAGCCTACAGGTGCAGGAAAAAGTGATCTACTGTAATAACCGACAGCCAATCAGCTACTTACAGTGATGAGAAATCAGAGGAACTACTTTGTGTGTTAGCCTACTTCAAAAGCAATCTGACAGAGCACTTAATGGGACGACTTAACCGTGTACCGTTTTCAGTTTCATCACTTTGTACAACATATTCACTCTCATCTGGAGCTGCAGGGTGGCACAAAACAAAAAAGACACAAACACATCCGGGTGTCATAAAACGTTTGGAGAAGTGTGACCCTTTGAAAGAAGCGTGAGTGCACCTGCACCACATTTAAAGCTGCCTGTGAGCAAGTTAGTTAGAATGATTTACAAAACTGTGTCCCGCTCCCAACTATGCCATAGATCCCCCCCTCCTCAGTCTATCACCATCACCAGCGTTTGTGGGATTAGAGAAAAGTGATTATAGATGTGTGCTGTGGTGCACGAGCAAATATACCTACTTCCCAACATATAGGGTGAAGCCTTGTGCTATTACTGACTAGTACTCTTGATCAGGGTTGTCTGATAGACCCATGCATTTCTCAGCTAGCCCTTTACTATCACAGTGTTAGTGACAGAATGGCTGAAGCATGCTAGCAAACAACTGGCAAGACAAAGTACAAATGCATGCAGGTGCAATGAGAGGGAGAGGAGGGAGACAGAAGAGGTCGAGACCAACAAGCATCTAGTCTAATGATGGAAAATAAGAGCTGCAATATCAAAACACAAAGCAGAAAATAAAATAAAAACTTTTGGGACTATTTAGAATTTGATCATAGACTGTATATAAGAAGTGGATATAGCATTTGGTTTTGATGCTAAGTCAATAGCCCTTTTCATATACGAAACACCGCCGCCATTACGCCTAAAGACATTCATATTATTCCACAACAGCGTAATATTCGACTCCTAGTCTGTGAATTCAAATTGCCTCACGGCATTGCTGAAAGGCAAAAGAGGGGCACAGCAGGAGCTTCACATACACACACAGTAAGACATGTGCACACACACAGCGCTGTCCTCCTCTGGCTCCGCCTATCCCCTCTTGCCCCTGTAACGCCTCTGTTACTACCCCCGAAGCCGGCACAGAGTGGGTGTCACATCTTTTCCCTATTATGCCCCTGACATGTTCAAAATGAAGGTGAAACGCTGCAGGGGTGAAAATATGAATAAGGCAAATGCAACATTGCCTAAACCATGCAGTATATCTAATGACCAGTAGGGGACGGATGCACAGGTATTGTGTGAATTTAGAGGAATGACCCGACTTCTCAGTTAACTTTGTTTCCTCAGGAAGAATTTTTAAAGAGTTAATATTCTCAATCGGTGATACGAATTCAGCATGATATTTATTTAGTTAATAATTGTCCTAAGTAGAAAAAAAAACTATTTTGTGTTTTCTTCAGGTCTTCCTTATCCTTCCTCATGTTCCTCAAGCAGCCTGTCAACATAAATCAAAATGAAACATTATGACTAAAAGATTTGTTCCCTGAACGAAACAAAGGTGAAACATGCAAGTTTGACTCTTATGATTGAAATAAGCTAAGACGGTGATGGCCAAAAGTTTGAACTTAAAAAGAGAGGTTCCCAAAAAACTGGGTGACTAAACGGTTGCTACATCCACTTCTTTTATAAAGTCCATGATTGGATTTCCCTCTGATTGTGATCTCTTTTGGCTTGACTTCGGCTTAAGTACAACAGAGTTAAGTTGTTGATGTTGGTCAGCCTCGTCCCTTCAGTTTCCCAAGTGCAACATGGAAATAGGAGGAGTTATCGTTGTATTGGCAGCCTTACTGTGCTTCTCCTCTTTGCATCTCTGCAGGATCTCTAAGCTTCTCTGATGCACAGGGTGCTGCAGAAAGCTAAAACTATCCACACTTTTCAAAACTGCACAGGGAGCAGCGTCATCATGCCCTTGGAGAAGCAAAACAAAAGACAAACAGGGAAGAAGAAAAAAACACAAGAGAGGAAAAAGGGGGGGAAAGAGAGAGAGAAATGACAGATTAGACAGCGAAGAAAAAGAGATCAAGAGATGCAGTCATCTACCGGAGAGATACCTGTGCAAGACATTTGGAGAGAAGATGATTGACATTCAAAACTGCGGTTAGCGGCAAGATGTTTGTCACTGTAGTTGTGTGTGTGTGTCGCCCAAAGCACTTCCAAACAATGCCTTCTACAAGTTTTCTGCAAACTTACTCTTTATGTGAAAGTATTTGAAGCCAATTTTTTCACATCTAGCCCATAATCATTAAATCAAAAAGTTTGCATTTTAAAAAAAAAAAGTGCTTTAAGCCAAACACTAGTTTTTTTCATTTTGCAGAAATGTTTGGGAAGACATGTCAAAAGTTCCCTTGGGTGACAGTAATATATTAAGAGCTCAGTTGGCGGTTTTCTTATAGATAGATATATAAGGATAAATAAAAATCCATCTTCACGTTACAGCATGTAGATGTAAAACCTAATGTGTCAGAAGGGTCAAGACGGTGCATCCAATTCACGACGACGGCAGTGCTTAAGGAGCATCTGATGGGTGATATGTAACTCAGCTAGAGAGAATCTAAGGGAAGAGAAGGCATTCATAAGAAAGACAAAGCTGAGAGACAAAGAGCAAGGGCTACAGTAAATACACAGCAGCACTACTGGCACTACGCACACACACTACAGAGTAATGACTACTGAAACACAACATATGGCGGATGAAACTCGATCTAGAATGAAGGAAGAAGACAACATTTTTATAGCAAGGCATGTGAGCATCAAGACTGGAAAAAGATCAAAATGTTTGTAAATACTTGTAGTAGAAATGGTAGGTGTTTCTTGTACATCTGTATAAGTTTTCACATTAAATAGTATTGTTGCTCTATTAAGAGGTACATGACATGACAGTAAGTAAAGGTGATGTCTTTCCTTTTATTTTTGATTCTTAAGGTTCTTGAATTTTGTGACGGCCTGAGCATAACACAAACTACAGCGAGCACAGATTTTACACATTTTTAAATATTCAACATTAAACTATTTCACTGAAATCTATGGAGCTTGAAAAATACTGTAAATTCAAAATACAAGCACAGTTAAACACGAGTACTTTGGATATTTGTGGATGGCTGATATGATGGTTGTGTTTCACTCACATCTGACTCCCTTTGAGATCGTACTCTTTCTCACTATGACGCGCCGGACTGTTAAAAAATATCTGTGCGTGTGAGGGCTCACCGGTCTTCTTCTGCGTGTGTCTCTTCCCGGCCTCTCTGAAAGCCACCAGGGCCCTGAAGTAGGCTCGGAGTACCGCCCAGCGGAAAGTGGCCGACGGGTCGATGCCGATCAGCCCGCAGATGAAGGCGTTCTTGCTGCTCTTCAGCAGAGCTACGATGTCCGGACGCATGTGGTCCGTGTTCTTCTCCCTGAAGTCCTTTGTAAGGGAAAATGAAAGACAATGGTCACATTTTTATTTAATTTTAAAAATAAAATTGTTATCTTCAGCCCCTAACTCCTCCAATCACTGTTTTTATAAACCTACTGAATACACAACTTCTTTTATCTCTGCAATGGAAATGATTGTTCAAAATCAAAATCAATTCAAATGAAATGAAATAACTTTATTTATACATTAGGACACATACAGCAAGAAGGCACACAATTTAAGCTTATTTATTTCAAACATCAATAATTCATAAGAGTATTTGCATGTGTCATAATTAAAATATTTTAAAAAATCAGACAGTAATTTCATCATATCTTACTAAGCAAACCAAAAATATGGTTTATTCTCAAAGAACCAGAGATATAGAAAAAGGGACAATTCTAAATACTCTGAATGTTATTTAGAATCAGTGCATCTCTTTAGTTTTTGAGTTTTGAGCGATGAGTCATATTTCTAGCCGAGTGCAAAGATGTTTTGATGTTTTAATCTGCAATAGAAATACATTGGCACTGCTGCTTAATGTGATGTAATATCTTGGAATAGATTCAAAATTTTTATATCCCTTAAATCAGTTCAACCTAAAGGTTATGTAAGTTCTGAAAATCATCATCACTCTGTTATGGTTTTTATTTTGGATGGGTACAGACAGGATTATGCAAACAACAGCCTCACGTGGCCCTGTGCTGCCGAGGCGTTTTTTCCAACCAGCATACATTATATGCAACACGACCTTTTAACTTGATCAAAAACATCAAACTTCATGAAATCAAAAGCTGCAGCATTAGCTACAAGCTGCAGAGATAATGGACGTGTCTACCCCTCAGCTGGTAAGGCTGATTGGAAAAGGTTCATGTAAATAAATTAATTAAGGGTAACTACATAGATTGACATAAAACAAGGGGATAATGATGATTGTGTATGTGGATGTGTGACATGAATGAAACATTCCCCTAAAAACAACAAAAAGCTCAGAGAGTACAAAAACACAGCAGAGACCAGCTGCACTTCCCTACATCCCCTTTCCTGTCCAATCAATGACTAAGTGTGGAAGGGTGATTACACTGACCTTGACGCCGTACTTGACCTTGCCAGCGTAGTGTTGGATGATGAAGGCGGGCTCCATGACAGCAGGAAACTCGATGTAGCTGTTCCCCTCATGCTGCCGCTTAAACTTATCCAGCAGAGTCTGGTTGGTGGCCTGGGGGAAGCTGGGATGAAGGGATGTGAGATTTTGATTAAAACTTGTTTTCATGAATCTGTTTTTAATAATGAAACACATTTTTGATTACGTTGTTTAAAGCTTTTAAATACATCGTGAACTCTGCAGTATAAATAACTGGAAATGTTTGACAGATTCCTGATTCTATCATTCACAAAGAACATGAATTAAAAACAGTTTTTCCACCAGCGTTGAATTAAGTCACAATAACAGGTACTGCTCTGCACACGTGGCAGGATGACATCGCTCTGAAGATGTTCTTAAGGTTAACCAGAGAGCAGTGATTATGTCAACACGACAGATTTGTGTTTGGTTAGATGCATGCAATCCGGGAAAGACAAAAGCACAGTTCTGGTTTGTGAATGGTTTGCATTTGGATTTTCAAAGAAATGCATCTAAATGCACTTCTAGGTGGGTTTTCAGATTATGAGTGTCTATTGTCTTTGTTTCTTTCAGTTAGGCCATGGCATTCAATAAGGCTGCAAAATGTCAGGTTACCAAAGCCTCCATTGCTTTATTGCTTCTAGTCTTCAGAAAAGTATTAAGATGCCTGATTTTTGCTCTTGAGATCGCTTTGATTGTTGTTTTTTTATCCTTTGCTAAAAGCTTATTGTCTTTTGCTATTAAGATGGAGTCTGTAGGATTTCAGAAAGCCCATTAATTAGGCATTTAATTGTCTGACATCTCAGACTAAAAGTGATAATTTAAAAAGGGAAGTAGAAACTTTCCTTTGACATAAGAAAAAGTGCAGAAAACCGGCCGGCCGCTTACAGGAAGAGAAGAGGGGAAGAAAGAGACAGCGGGGGTTTTTGGGGTGAAACCTGAGCTATGAAAACAACACAGCCAAAGATTCAGAGACTTTCCAGCTTTTCTGACTGGGAAGAATTAGATTCAGGGTCAAAATGGAGCAGAGGGAAATAAAGGAGGAAATACTGTTGGCAAAAAATAGTTTTGACTTAATCTGCACTCTGTTCAGCTCTCAATGAGCAGCTTTATGTTTATAATGACGTTTCTTTAACATCAAGTTTATCTTCATGATGAATTATTTTTTACATGTGACACTTTCTGTAAATATTGTGGTATGTTTCGTTACATGTCATAGTGGATCTATGGCTCAAGGATTCAAATTCAGCAGCGTTCATTTTTGCAGCTGGCTGGACAAAGAGCGAGAGGGGTTGTGATGTGCGACAAAGGGCCACAGCTGGATTCAAACGAGGCCTATTTTTTAGTTACATGGTAGGAGTTGTTACAGTTCATATCATGATGCCATCCTCCTCTGATCTGAGGCCAGAGGCACCAGATGATTTACATACTGGATGAGTTAAACTGGTCCAACAGGCTGAAAGACTCACTTGCACTCTTCATCCAGTAGGTGGAACAGCGCCGTGGGCTTCTTGCTGATCAGGTTAATGCAGCCTGTGTTGTCAATGTAGTCGATGTTGTGCCAGCTGATGCCCTCTGACCTGTACTCCTCCTGCAGGGACACACAAAACAAACAGGGAGAGGTTAGTGTCAGTATCATTTTATAGTATACTCTACAGATCCTGCATTGAAGTATCATGCCTGGCCTACAGTATATAGGCCACCTTTTTCATGTTGCAATAAAACAGCTGCTACCAGAGTCTGAAAATGTGCGGCATCAAAGACAGCACCTATAAAATATAAAGTCGTCTATTAACCTACCATAAAATTGAAAGATGTGAAAGAGATGTTTAAAATTGTTCTAATCAAAGCAGAAAATGGTGTCTGTGTGCATGCTTTCATGTTGTCCTTAAAAGCCATTACACTTTCTTCAGATCTTGCGAGGCCTCTCTGCGGTCAAATAACAAGAGGAGCATTCAGAGCATTTGGTTTCGTACATGTTTTTGTTTTCCTGTCTGTTCCTGGGAAAGCGATTCAACCAATAAAGACCTTAATCCAGAGGAGGTTTAATAAGAATCACGGAGGATCTCCTTTTTTAAAAAAAATTTCTCTACTCTGACAAACTCAAAGGTCAGTCACTGAAAAAAGAGACAAGAAAGTTCACGGGGGGAAAAATCTAAAAGGGATGCTGATCTTCTGCAGTAATATAATAATAAAAAAAGAAAAAAAAAAAAGTTAAACATAAATAATTGAGTGTGCTTTGGTTGATTCATGTGGAAAAATGGTTGAAGGTTTATTGAGATACAGTTTGAGAGCATCAGTCTGGGACATATTTTGTCTTTTTCAGAGATTTATAGTTTGTGTTGAAATTTCCAAACATTAACAATCCAACACACTCCTTTGGACAAACTATTTGTTTCACTGTCAAATCTGTGTTATGTGTTTTTTAGATTTATTTTTAGGCTTTTGATGCCTTTTTTTTGGGAGAGACAGGACCATGGATAGAGTCAAAAATCGGGGAGTGAGAGAGCTACATGCGTCCCTTTCACTGTCGAATCTAAAAATACTCTTGAATAATGGAAGTTAGCGGTGCAGCTGGTTCATCCTTTTGGATGTTTTACAAAATGAGACGTTTTTATTGAAACAGTGTGTCGTGTGAGATCATTCTTTAAACTTTGAAAAGGTCAAAAGCAAGGAGCTGAGTAAAACAGAAAGATGAACCAGGCAGCTGTTAGTTGAGTTTACTTTTCGCTTATAAGTCTCTTATAAACCGTTTCTCTAGAGCAGTGGTTCTCAACTGGTGGGTCGGGACCCAAAAGTGGGTCGCGAAAATGTGACTGTAAAAAAAAAAAAGTATAAAAAGTCTACAAAGCTTCAAACATGTTGGTTACGTTCCTTCTCTTTGTTCCATCATATGTTTCGTATTTGAGGTCCAAACTATTTTTCATTCAGTAAATCAGATTGGTTGAAAACATATCAGAAATCAGGATCACAACTTTCATGAAGGAGTTAGTGGTGGGTCCTTAGACTAGACCAGTTGAGAACCAAACTGCTCTAGAGGAAATCTGCTGCAAGTGCCTCACCTGATGCCTCCTTCAACTGAGAGTATTTCGTATTAGCATGGAGGTTTGGGGGATCTCACCTGCAGCCATATGACATCAAACAGCACTGACAGTGTTTGATTCATTACTTTACAGAGCCAGGAGGGGGAGACAAAAGTTACAAACTGTAGGCTCAGCTTCAATTCAACATTTAAGGCATTAAATAATGTAAAAAATGAGTACCTGCAGGGCAACTGTGACTCCAGAAGCAAAGAGTGACGAAGTCAACAAGTAAGGCTGTGTGGTAATCTCTGTGTGTACTGACCTTGTCTGGTTAAACTGCTTATAAGCTCAGGTTTTAATTGGTGTGAGAGGAGTTTGTTGTCTCTTTGATCGAAATGAAAAGTCTTGATTTGAAATAAGTGATAGTAGAAGAAAGGTTTAAAATCGGATTTTAGCATCCGACATGTGCCTGCAGGAGCTGGGGATCAAACCCTCAACCTTCCGGTTTAGAGACGCCCGACTCTACCACTGAGCCACAGCCGCATATTGTTTTCGAACAGGCTTGAGAAATACTCAATATGTAGACTATAAAACCAACACCTGTGTACGATAATCTAATACATGAGCCCTGGAATAAACATTATATGATTCAACGTGTGTGTCAGATGGATGCTGACTCAGCTCCTTGGCGATCACTGAGCTGTGGTTTGTGGGGGTGTTTCATTGGGTTGCATTACATTGCACAGGATTCTGTATCCGCCCCCTCGCCATGCCTTAAAATCATCTTCCAAAAGCTGCAGTGATTCACTCTTATTATTTTGACTCAACCATCAGGATGAAAAACCAAAACATGTCCCAGAATTCAGCGTCCTCACAGAGTCGCACTGACTGTTTTTATTTTGGTTAACCCTTTGTGTGAAAAGTGTTTCATTAATTTTCGCCAATAATAAAGCGGATAATCCAGGCGCTGCTCTGTCTGAGTGAATGCAGACAGCAACAAAACATAAACACACAAGAAGACTGTTTTCTGTTCCCTCTGAAGAAACATCTTTTAACTTCTTTTTCACAGAGTCTTAATCCATGACCATTGATCTGACACTGCCTGTTATTATACTTCTCACATGTCAGATACATTTATGTGAACATTTTAAAGAGAGCAAACTCTGCCATCTTTTTTTAATCGAATGAAGTCGAACCTCACTTTCCTCACATACTGTATGTATCTTGATATTGGATATAGTGAAAATGATAAAAACTGTGATTGTGTATTTCTGTTATGTGCTTAGCCTGCTCTTACTTGAGTAAATGATTTGAATACAATGGCATCAGTGATTTAGACCAGACTGACATAGTAAATTACTATTAGATCAATTTTAACGTGTGCCTTTAAAAAGGGGGATTATTCAAAATGTTTCCACAATTATTAATTGAAACATAAAGGTCTAACAGGTCCCTCTGTTTGTTGTCTATTTTTGTTTGTGTGCATTTGTTAAAATGTGTGTATGTAATGTTTGTGTTCTCCAGGAGTAACTTCCATATGGAGGGATATATGGTGCATGTTTACAACCCAGACAATGAGGGGAAAAATAAAACCTGTTGTTGTTGTTGTTGTTGTTGTTGGTGGTGGTAAATTATGGGGAAGTTGGGTTATTTATTATAAAAAGTAAAGAGTGTGTTATAAATCAAAATAAAAGAACTAAAAAAGAGGCCTGTGAATTAAATTAATAAAGAAATATAAAAAGAAGAGGACTCTGATCTAGAGCTGGACGTACTGAACGTACTCAAACTAACCAAAAAGTTAACTGCATGAAACCTTGTGGTTTGAAGAAAAAGTAACATGAGGGCATGTCCTATATTTTAATAAGAAATGACCAGACCAAGGGGACAAAGCTAGAAAAGCCAACAAAAACAATCAATCCACAACGAGGCACAGAGACGAGATGAACCCGTCACAAGCTTCTCGACAATAACGCAGATGGGCATTTCCTCAAAGGCCATACTGTAGATGAACCATTACAGGAAGGCAGATACGTTTTACTTCCACCCTACTGTCATGAAAAATCTTCCTTCAGGGTAACTTCCCCATGACTGGACGAAAGCTGATTCCAAGTGCAGATCAGATAAACTTGAACTACAGTCAAAGCAAGATTTATTGGTTTCTAACTTCTGTTAACATCAGTGCCAAACTGAAATCTAGAGAATTATCTCATGGTCATACTGCAGCTCTCTGGTATAAATATTATCATAACATTCTCTTATTCCATTTCAGGTCTTTCAACAATGTAATTACTGGCTGAGAGGTTGTTGGAAAATACAACAAAAGAAAGAGGAAAATGTTTCCCTAAAAATGACCATCAGCGTGCCAATAAGCAAACAATTCATCCACCAAACTGCTCTAGCAGGGAGCCTCAGCACTGGACAGATGAGTGGAAACATACAGTGTGTAACTGAAGACGAGGGTGTGAAGCTGGCCTCAGCAGAAATATGAAGCATGCCCGCTCTCGGTCAACTTATCCCTGCTCAATCTTTTTCAGAGGCCTTTAGACCGCCTCAGTGCTGCATATCGATTTATTCTCACGATACTAATGCTGAACTGCATCTACAGCAAGCCATGATCCCCCACGCCCCTCAGATTCTTCTATTGAAGTCTTTAATATCGAGTCAGTCAGCTGCTGGTGTCAAAACCCTAAAACTGTGCTACATTTGTTAACAAAATATGCTGAAATCATGATAAATCTTCAGAAAAATGTTGATTCTACTCCATGATTAGTCCATGATGTTTGATAAGAAACATGGCAATAAAGCTGTGGTGGGAGTTTGATTCATAAAATACAACAGAAACCAACAGGAGAGCACATATACTGGTTAATTCACAGTCCTGTTTGCATGTATGGTTAACTGTTCTGGAAACCAGCATGAAACGGTTGGCTACAGTTCTCCTCAGTCAACCTAGATGGTTGCCGGTTCAAGTCCCGGTGCGGACCAATTCTGGAAGTTGGTCTGGTAGCTGGAGAAATGCTAGTTTACTTCCTGAGAGCACTGCAGAGATGCCCTGGGGCAAGGCACCAAACCTCTCTCCATTTGTGCATGGCCATGGTATCCTGTTTTATGCATGTGTGTGCAATTTAGGATGTACAAGAACAGAGAGTAAAAATCTCGCAGGATGACTAAAATGTTTTTTATTAACTATCTTTGCAGAGCGGAGTAAACTGATGACTGAAAATGATGAAATACCGAATATACAGTATGACATATCAGGCCTGAGATGTAGTCAAGTAAAGACAGATGGCATCAAAAGAGGGTGGGACATTTTTCTTCTGAAACTTTCAGTGATCTGGAGTTCGATCAGACGACTGAAACCTGCATGCATGCTGAGGTTTACTCATCAAGAGGAACGTTTGACATCAGGTTTGTAGACGATGAGAGTTGCAGATCTCAGAGTCAGTGAGGAAACTGAGAAGAAGTCAATCCATGTTGATCTAAATCTACCTTCAAATACACAATGAACCACTGAGAGTAAGATAATGGATATCTGTTAACAAGCAAAAATCTTCCTTCAATGAGCCGTATAAAAAAGTTCAGTCTGACTATTCAACTAACTGCAGCCTTTAACTTATCACAAAAAAAAAAAAAAAAAAAAAATATATATATATATATATATATATATATATTTCTACTGCATTTTCTGCATTCTCTATACCTCGTCTTTATATAAGTTATTTGGCTTTATGAAGCATCACAACCATTAGGTCATGTAAAGAACAAATCTGACACGCCCATAATCTACAGCACAATCATTCTGATTTCTTTTCAACCAGCCGTCAGCCCTGAAACAAAGAAGTCTTTGAAGTCTCTTCTCGTGACATTCATCCACATGTGTGTCATAAATCATTTGACATATTTATGACATTAAAGGTGAAAAACGGCCTTTTTGCGAAGCAGACCTGACCCAGGACAAAGTCACTCATGTCTCGTCGTATTTCATGGAACACACAGAAACCTTCCCGCACGTCGAGTTTACCTTGAGATTTAGTTGATCTCAAGGTAAACACAATGTTTAACATGCTGCCAAATCTTACAGGTCATGACTTTCAAAAGCTCTTTGAAGGCAATAAGCTCACTTAAGAGAACATACATCCTCAGCCGGGTGTTCACAGAGAGGACGTGCTGAGTCATACAGCTGACAGTTTCTCCGCTAAACCCCTTACATCATGACATGAAGAATTCCTCCATTGTTTCAGCTTCACTGTAGTGTATATACATTGTGAGGTGTAGTAAGGAGGGGTTTTTCTTTGAAATGGAAACAACCAGATATGTAAGAGGGTAAAATCAACAAAACATTAAAATAACAGCTGCAGTTAAACAGTTCAGAAGTTCAGCTGCAGGTCAAAGCCATAAATAGGAAACTCAGAAAGAAGAGAGTCCCACAGAGGAAAAGTCATAACTCACCTGTTCCAGTTTGAAGGTGTGCTGGTTGAAGTAATGCTGGAGACGCTCGTTGGCAAAGTTGATGCAGAATTGTTCGAAGCTGTTGTTCTCGTAATCCTCGAAACCAAAGATGTCGAGCACTCCGATGGACAAGATCTGACGGAGACGGAATAACACGACATGAAATAAACAACATATCGACTGGATTGATGTGAAAACGGAGATGAACCTGTGGAAATAAGAACCTAGAATTATAAAGTGGGCGTCCTTCGCTCGTCACGCTGGTAAATGTAGGTTCAATATGTCAAACCTCTGCGCCCTGACGTTGATAATGAGGTGAATCGATGAGAAACCATAATGATTTATTACTTATTGGTTATTCATGTGTTTGAATTTGCTTCTAAATACATTTCTGTAATTATTTGCAAATGTCTTACACAAAACTCCTTCACACATAGTCAAGAAGTAGATTCATGGAGTGCAGCACCAAACGTATTTTGAAATTTAATTTAATTCACCACTCTCTCTCTCTCTCTCTCTATATATATATATATATACACAGTATATGTACTGTATAACTATGTTACAGCTCTTCCTGTAACTTTCTATTTTGAATATTCATGCACAAAATTCTTCGAATCCATACTGTAGCATTGTAGACATTGTTATGAGAACTATTGTGTTTTATTTGCTTTTTGTGTTTGCACTTGAATGTCTTTTGTTATCATTTTCCTCTCTCTACAAATCAAGGGTCCTGTCATTCAGACTCAAATGAGTGAACTGAACTGAGAAGCTGCATCTCTCTTTACCTTGAGTTTCATTTAATCAGTTGAACACTTTTACACATCCTATATTAAAAGTCTCTGAAGCCGTCCTACCTTGGTGGTCTCCACCAGGTCCTTGATGTTGAGCAGAGCGTGGTTGATCCTGAAGACGATCCAGTCGAACAGAGCGCTGTACAAAGACTTCGCCATGGAGTCCCGAACTGTGCCGGCCTGCAGGTGGATACATAGATCATCTCTTTAGTGTTTCTTTCAGAGGAAACATCGTCCTTTACATTTTAGTGATTTACAACTATTGAAAAGACAGAAGTGAGTTTTAAACCTGTTTCAATCTTTTGTCAAATACAAGACTTTTTAAAAATAAAATGTCTTTTAATGTATGCTGTTTGATACACCTTGTTCCTCTTGATTTATTTTGATTTTCCTTATTTTCTTCACAGTTTGTGTTCTTAATATTTGCAATCATTGTTGCATATTTGTTCTTATTAGTCTCTTGTGTATTCATTGTCTAGCTTTAGACATTTTAAAGATCCATCTAGGGAGAAGAGTTGAAAATCAGTTGAGCGATGAATACTGGGGTGTGTTGCATCAGTTCACAAGCTACAAACTTGAGCCTATAGAAATAAACATGATAAAAGTCAACTTTAATATTTGTTAACTATTGTAAATCGTTTTAATATATAAGTAATGTCTTAAAGGAGAGTAGTTTGACACTTTTGGCAAACAATGCATCACTTTTCTTGGTTTGAACAACACTGAGACATCGGTTACACCTAGCTTATCTTAGCTTACTTTAGCACAGGGACTGGACAGGGACAGAGGGAAACTTGCAGCACAACAGTGTCTAAAGGTGAATTGTATCTTTCTACTAGTTTCTCACACACTCACTAGTTTCAAAGTTTGTCCCTCATTCATTTTGTTTTAGTGTAAAAAGCTGTTAAAAGAAGGAGTGATGATGCAGCCATGAAATACTGTAGAACTAAAAACATAAAAAAACATCAGAGTTGAGGCTGATTTAGTTTTTGTTGTTATTGTTGTTGCAATGTTCCTGTTTTAGATGCATTTCCAAAGCAGAGTCAACGGGCTGCTAACTGCAGCTTTAGATTTATTTCACAGATGCGAGCGTGGCATTAATCTTGTCATGAAAAGGTCATCGACAAAGCAGAATGTCCCCCTTCTCATTTAGATTTCTTTGCGCTTATTTGTGCAGATTGAGAGGTTTGGATAGTCATCTGTTACTTTAGCTGCCGACTGACGCTGACTCCGACTGCAGAAATCATTTCTGTGTCATCTACTCAAATTCAACGCTGCACACATCTGTGCTATACGTTAAAGCTTGGCCTTTTAACAGTGCACTTTTGTTCAGGTCCAGCACAAGAAACACAATGAATAAAGGCTTTTGAAGGGAGAAAATAAAACAGATTTATATCAAGGACAACATAACAGGGAACACTGGCACAGTTTGAGGGTCAAGATGTGCAGACAGCTGTACTTCTCCTTTATAACAGAACACTTAAAGCTGAGACTAAATCACATCCTCACTGTACTTTCAGGAGCCTCTGCTCTCAAAGCTCGTACGGGAACTTGGATAATGGGTTTCCCCTAAAAGGTGCAAATAACATAAACAGGGAAAACCTGCCAAATTCATCTCTGGCATTGATTTTCTCCACTGGACCTCTGACATAGAAAGCAGCTTTACAGACACGCTGGCAGACTCCACTGTGTCACAGCAGGACGTCCCTGAGCTTTTATTAATGTCATTATCCAGACTAAAACTCATCAGATGTGGCACAGACACAGCCGTCTGCTGAGCTCTGATGTCGGCCTAATGGAAATGATTAGCTTTAATAAACACTGTCTGTTTGGAGTAAATATGCAGAACTTAAGGCTCCTGCTGCTGGGAAAGTCAATATACAACTCATAAGAGACAAACATTAAAAGCAAGGTTTCCGAAAACTAGCATGATTCTGAAAGTAGAATTTCTTAAGTCTCCCCCGCTCTGTGCCTCCTCAAAAGCCACGCCCCTCACTTACATGCATGAGCGCCGTTGCTCCGGAAGCGGACTTCAGCTCATCGCATATATTGTGTAGAAATGACATCGTCTCATCTCTCATTCAGCAGTAAGTTAACTCACAGTATAAACTCTGTCATCGCTGACGCACTTTGAGTGTGGGCTAGAGAACAGGGAGACAGGGCAGCCTGATTGGTTCATCAGATTGGTACCTCATGGCAGACATTGAAGTTTTTACAAGCTTACAACTGCTACAGGTGACAGATTTTCTTTGTCCCTTTTCAGAGAACGTGAGTTATTCATTTCTGTCAGAGCCAACCCTGCCTTTAAATACCTGGAAAGAACAGAAATTGTCCTCTTATGTGACATTAGTGACAATCCCATCCAAAAACTTCACGTTGTAGAGTAAGAATGCAAAGCGTGCTGGAACAATGCAGGGTTATTTAGAAGTAAATCTGAGCCAGACTCTCTGAGATTATTTTACAAACGTGTCATTGTTGATTTATCGAGGGGGGGAGGGGCACCTTCTTATTTCTTGTATCCTCTGAACTTATTTGACCTTGCTGCAGCAGAGGTGAACTTCGGCCTTTTGGAAACAAAATAAATCTCACTGTTGCAGTTGAAAGTTTAAATCCCTTTGTTCATAAACTAAGAACAAGGATATTTTTAGCAGCACAGACCAAATAATCCTCTCATGAGTCAGCACAGATATGATTCTGAACTCTATACGTACTGTGGTCTAATGACCCACAAGCTTTTCATTATGTAGAGGAAGTCGGACTTAAAACATTCAGATGGGAAATGGCCTCATTACTCCGACCAAATGAAGAAAAGTCATTAGAGTAACGCTCAGATTTCTTTGAGGTTTTCCAGTGTATGATGTTAGTTAAAAGGGAATGAGACTGTTGTGACTGTTGGAGCAATATTTACACAAAGACCACCCAGTGTGCAACAGAAACAAACACTGTTTGTTCATATGAAAAGGCTCTGTAATATCTATGTAACAAGCTGTTAAGAGGCTGGTGCTGGTTTTAATGCGAATGTGTAATGTACCACCGTCCCCTCGGAGAGGTTGGGACAAAGTATTGAATCCTGAGGGTGAATATACTGTAAAATTAAACAAAGATTACCAAATCAAACCCAGACAATGACATGTGTGCAAGGAATATTGAACATATGATATCATTATAGCATGAAAAACTCAGGAGAGTGTAGAAGTGAACAGAATCTGTGTTTAAGGAACTGTATCTTTGTCGCTCCCTGCTCTCTTACTCTCATCTACAGAGCATGACATGAGTTTGTTTTCAGAGTCGATTTCCAAACGAGAACTGCGGAGGGACTTGAAATGCCTCCCCTCCTCTCTAAACAGATTGTGTATGTGAGCCTCTAATTGTGGGATTTTTGTGTACATGCGTGGAGCCGCAGAGGGAGAGAGGAAGAGGGCAGGAGGAGATCCGGTGCTGGAGCACGTCGTCCTGTAAACACGGCGGGTCAGACTGAACAGACCAGGCTGCAGCTCGGTGGTCACTGAGTTCACAAAATGCCCGAAGTAGCATTTTAGGGAATTATACTTTATTTATTCATGGAAGAGATCGGGGTGGTACAAAATTAATTCATTATTAATTAAGGTTTATGTTTGTTGTATGAAATGTGGTGTGCAAATATCCTTTTAATCCAAATACAGCACTTTGATTTACAGCAAAAATGACACTTAATATTAAAGTCTAATTTGATTCTTGGAAGAATTGGAAATGAAGTATTGATCTCACTGATTTCCGCTTATGTATGTGTCTGGAGCAGCAGTGTACCTGTCAACTCGTCAAACTATTTCTGCAGAAAGTCTGTCAATGGACTCCAAAGTTCAAACAGAATGCTTTTCTATTGATCCATTTCTACCTAAAGAGTTGTTATTCTGTCTCCTGTACGGCCTCAGACCACCTTGGATTTGGCTTCTATTATTAACATAATGTCAACATTTTAGCATGCTAACATTAACGTGAACGAAACAGAAGAACCGTCTCACCTCTGATAGTTTGTAAGGAACAATCAGCTTCTCTCCAACAGTAACCGTCTTCCGTGTGGTGAGAGCTTCGAACAGCGTCTCTTCTTTCACCTGGTCACGACAGAAAGAAATCATTCAGTGCAATGTACTGAAGTGCAGACTTTTATCAACATACAGCAGCGACAGTGTGCACTGTGACGAGAGAATTCTGAATAATCAAATATAATTGTGACACTTCCCACCAGAGTTGACTTTTACAGTCTTTTTAGTCTCTTTAGTGTGCAGGCTGCTGGATCACACTGTGCTACAAACATCCTGTCAGCGCAGACCTTCAGTTAACAGAGGAGATGTGACAGATGGGCACAAACACACAGCTGGCACCTCCTTATCTCATGTGCCTTTATCTTCAATGATTTGGTCATGAATGATGTTTGCCTGAAGCACAGGGAGTGAACGCCTCTTGATGAAATGTTGTGTAAATAATGATATGTCAATCTAACAACTAATTTGTAATTAAACAGTCTAGTCACTTAATTACGCCAAAACAACAATTATGCATTTAATCCTTAAACCACACTCTTTGGAAGTTACTAAACTGTCAATTATAATATTCTCATTAGATCCAAATGTATCGAACTACTTCTGAATCATTCTTCAGCTGGAGAGAACGAAATTAATCGTATCCCCAACCTTAAGAAACTCGCTTTGAAAAAAGCAATACAGCATTTGGTAGACTTTATGAACATTATTTTGTGAGTTTAAGAGAAGAGGGTAGTATAAACACATCCTGTAGGTACAGGGCAAAAGAAAACAGCAGACAGAGGAAGATTCAAGATATGTCTGCACATTTGCTCAAATGCCAGAAAAAGTTTTTATTCCATCACAAACACAACGTTTCGACTAGACGTCCTGTTCAGGGGAGAACTTCAGGCCAAACGTTTTGATTGTAATGGAATAAAAACTTTTTGCGGCCATGTCTTCTTCTTCAGATGACGAGAAGAAGCCAGTAGAAAGTTAAATTAGGCCGACTTAAATAGCATACAAATCATTTCAGGAAGTAAAGTCTTGTTTTTAGTTCATGTCTGAGAATGTTTTTTTTTTTTTACATACCTCCAGCAGTTCGGAGACAACAGGCAGCACCTCAGGGTTACAGATATCGATGGAGTCCTCTCTGTAGGTTTTCCTCTTGTAGCGGATGTTGCCCAGGTGAAGGATGGCCGACAGCAGAGAAAAGATCCTAAACACCAGTGAAGAAGACTCTTTAAGATTCTTTTTTCACTTTACTTAAATAGGACATTTTTTTTCATATTTACTGTAATGAGTTCAGACTTTTGTTACGTGTTTATAGCAAGTATTTTGATCATGTTTAAATTGGACCCAGTTTTGCAGCCCTGGTTGTGTTTGTGTCACTCACTGTTTGCGTGTTGAAGGGAGAAAGCCCACCATCTCCATAGCGAGCTGAAGCCTCTCAAAGTCGTGCTTCAGGTCTTCTCCTTCCACCGTGAAACAATCCTGCAAAAAAACATCAGGAACCCAAGTGTTACCAAGCTAACAGCAGCCGTTACGACACACTAGCCTGGAGGAGCAGACGACAACTTACTATTAAGAGTGTTGAATCAAAATGTGAAGGGATGTTTCTAATGTTTACAAAGTGCTCGGCTAAGATGCTCAAAATAGTTTGAGTTGACTTCGCAGCCGAAACAAAAAAACAGCAAAGTGGTCAGAATCAGAGAAAATGAATGACTTGTGCTCAAATAAGCTATAATTAAGACGCCTCACAGAACAGCGACACTCTGATGTGCAGAGCATCCAGTCACAGCAGTGTTTGCAGGTTCTGCTCATGTAGTGGAAAATCTGGCTCAGCTTCCCCCTAAAAGCAACCCCGTGGAAATTTGGCAAGCTGGCAAAAGAGGAGCATTTTATGGGTTTCTCTGGAATTTGAGTGATGGATGAGCTAAGTTAAAAAAAAGAGGAGACAGGGGGGAAGTTTGTTTTGATGCACTGACAATAAGGTGAGCAGAAAGGTGCTTATATGCATGTTCAGGTATGTAAGTAAAATTAGTCCGTTCACATTCTATACAGTGAATGGGATCTAGAAAATGACAAATTTGGCCATTTCTATAAAAAGGATGCATAAAGGTAGTGCAACATAAATCACTGCAACTAAGTGCACACATGAGTGTGTGTGTAGATCTGGATTATTTCATGATGAAGATCTTTTTTCCCAGATGAAGATCAAACACTTTTGATGTAACAACATAACTGCAGTGTTTCACTTCATAGAGCCACCGTAATGTGAGGTCTGCTCTCTGCTTTATGGCATCATTCCACTATGGTTGCCATAATTATCACATACCGAGGCCTCGGAAACACAAACACTCCAAACGTGAGACTCATACTTACTCCAACGTGCCTCCTTGTTTCCTCCCTCACTCTGTGCTTTCATGGCACAAACCCTACTGTGACCTGTTAGTGACTCTGCTTATATTTCCACTGAAGAGAAATGTTACATGATATAAAGTTTAAGCTGTTCTAACATGTCTCCAGTGAAAACAATCTGCCAGTGTAGTAAAAAGGTGTTATAGTAATCATCCAGATGTTGTTTATGAAACAAGAGACACACAAAAAACTCACTACAATCATAAATATGTGACTCATGTGATACCATTGCTGTTTTCTTTAATGCCTTCAAATGTTAAATTCAGAAGGTTGACTGAAATGTGTTATCATTTGTTTTATGAACAACAATATGAATGTTACAGTTTTGCACACCAGTGCAGTAAACAAGTGTGCACTAAAGACCTGCAGAATCAAGATTTTTGTTGTTGGTACTTTTCATAATTGTATCACCATTGTCACCTTCCCTCTTTGTGTTAATAAATGGAAACCTTACTTACGAGCAAAAAAAAACACAAACAAATCCCAAACATATATCCAAAATGACATTTTTGATCATTGACATCAAACAGTACTATTTGATAGTATTACAAAGTATTTCTGTTAAGAGCAGCATGAGATCACATGTGAAACTCAGCCATTGAAAGGTGATAGTGTGTCCTCTGATTCGGGGAAATTCACTGCAGATCTGTTGCTACATAAATACTGTATAATTGAAGTATGTTCTTTTTTAAGCAAACACATTCATACTGTGAAGGGCTTATAGGGCTGAAAATTATGATTTGATTCACACCAAATGTATGTCTACTGTAAATTAGATATATTTATTTTAAATCTAAGTCAAAAAACGTTCAGCAGGGTTGTCCCACAAGCAGAGCTTTGGCCAAACACCATACACTAAATGTGATTGTATTGGTATATAAAGACTACCAATAAAACCCTTAAAAATGATGAAGTTCAGGTCTTTGTGGTAATCTTCAGCTGTTGAAATCAACCCCAAAATGTTACAAACTTAGCGAGGACGTGGAGGATTTCACTTTGAGTACTAAAAACACTGCACTGTCAATGATCAAAAAAGTCCCACAGGTTACAGAAGCACAGCAGCTACAGTGGTCAGGATATGACTGGACATACCAACATAACTCACAGAAGCAGAACAACAGTGAACAGCGAAAACAAACAAAGCTCAAATAAACACAACCCACACCACACCAGGAAATCTCCCCAAAAGCAACAACATGAGCGGGGTGAGGAGGAGGGCAGGGAGGGAGAGTGGAGATGTGAGGGGAAAACGTAGCTTGAGCTCCTTCGAGTGCTCGGGTGACTTAAAAATCTATGTGTGAATGTTTCTTTAACACCTAAACACCCACATACAGTACACACGCACGCACGCACGCACGCACGCACGCACGCACGCACGCACGCACGCACGCACGCACGCACGCACGCACACACACACACACACACACACACACACACACACACAGAGGGCTGAGACACAGATACTGACCGGTTCACTGTCACAGTAACTGTCCCAGTGCAGTTGGTGGGTTGACTTTGTCATCTGGAAATGTTGAGGCATATTTTAAAAAGGCAGGGATAAGGTTAGACAGCAGCATTCCAATAGAAATAGTTACTGCAGGATGAAATATGTTCACAGATGTATGTGCAATTAGAAGCAATGGAAGCACATGCAGTTTAGATACAAGCAATGACTGAACTCTACAAATCTGTTCATAACACAATGACACGGGCAAATATTAAGAACTCAAAGACAGTGATAAGACAAGCATTTAAAAGCTTAGATATACAGAGGAGAGAGATGGATGCACAGTCATTGAACAATAAGCATATGACATGATCAAATAATTCAGGTCATTAACAGAGAGCCCGTACATTTGCATGCTTTCAGTGAATACTGCACAGAGATCTGCTGGCTAACGTTTCTTTAAGAGATGAAATCACACTATGTTAAACTTGTGGTTTATATAAATGCCAATAAGGCATTGAATGGTTTTCCATTCTGCAAGCAAATATATTTTATTCATATGGCATGTCAAATGTCTCTGCAGGTCTGATAAGATAAGATAATCCTTTTTTGATCCTCAGAGGGAAACTTCAGGTGTTGTTGTTCAGCAACATAAAGACAAAAAAGTGAGGCTGCAAAAATAGGCAAGTAAGATTTTTCTGGGGGTGGGGGTGGGGAGGCTAATTCATGTCCTTTCTGCTTCTGTAAGCTTTCAGAATTTTTTCGGTTTCATATCATAAAAATGTTTTTTTCATCTTATGTGACTCAGTTGTGTCTTTAGAGTCACAGCGTGTTACGTCTGCAACTGGAGGTTTCAAGATCAAATGACAACACCACAGATAGTCTGATGATGTTGTGATGTAAGATGGTTGTCTTTCTACAACGCTGGAAAAAAGTTCATGGAAAAGGAAGTGTACCAAAACTTGAGGCATGTTGTGTTTATTTTGGATATTTAATGCTGATGAAAAAGCAGCAACATTGTTATTTTTGGAAACTTTCTTTTTTAATCTGTTTGTGTTACATAAACCTTAAGGACTGGCTTCACTGCAGCATGTTAACCTAATGCCACAGAAAGACTCCTTCCCTTTTAATGATCTTCTTATATTTCTAGCATTCAAAGAAGTTCCAAGTTTCTATGTTCACTATCCAATGCCAAAACATGATGAACCTCACATAAAAACCAACAGCTCACTATTCAAACTGTCTTTTTAAAGGTATATTTGTGGTTAATTGGGATATTTAGGCATGCAGATCAAAATGTGTGGTCCTGAAAGCAAAATGTAGAATGACTTATTAGTAAAAAAGGAAACACAAATAAATGACGAAAAATAAAAGGCAGCCACAAACAAACTTGTTTACATGGCTTGTAAACAAGTTCAAGTAGAGTTTCTAAATCCATGCAAGAGCTGAAGCTGGTGCAAGAGTGTGATTTCTGATGTTGCAGAGAATAAAAGACACCAGAGAACAAGAGGGCAGGAATGTTTTTGTGTTTGAATGTATGTGTGTATGTGTGTGTGCGTGTGTGTGTGCGTGTCTGTATGCATGTGCATGTAAGTGGCCAGAAGGAATGGAAGGAATTGCCTGCTCTGTTGTGCGTAGGCGGGAGGATTTGGGAGGAGGAGAGCAGGTCGCTGGTTTTCTTGACTGTTAAAGCTCGGAGGCAGAGATGCCACAAGTTTTACACAACATCCACATTCCATATGCGTAATGTGTGTGTTATGTGTGTTATGTGTGCGTGTGTGTGTGGTGTGGCTCCGTTTCAAGGTTATGTGAAACCTGTTTTTGTGGCGGGCAATGAAAGCTACAGAGAGCAATATATGGCGTTTGTTTCCTATCAATAGTCACGAGCGCCATGAACTACAACAGTGAGCGTTTTAAATTAGTTCACACATGCAGGTATTAATTGTCATGCATTCAATAAAACTCTTCGCACACAAATAAATAACCTCGCTCACAAATTCATCAACAGAGAGCTGCACAGGTAGCAGAGAGTTTTACTGTGAGTGTGTAAGTTAAAATTGCGCGTGGGAAACAATATCATTTGTTTAATTTCTCTCTCTAGATTTGACATGAATCGGATTCCATAGAAATACTATATTTGTCTTTGTATGTGTGTATTTGTTGATATTTGTCAAAGATTGAACGGGGACGTGATTCTCTCTTTTCCCTGTTATCAGAGGTATAGAAGTAACTTGATTAGTTAGGCGACACCATGACAAACACATACAAACATAGGCTAAAATATCACACACACATCAGAACACACCAGACAAATAGATCAACATAAAAAAAGAGAAGTTGTCAGCCACCAGAAGAAAACTTTCTGGTGTCTGGATGTTGTTAAATAGTTTGTTGTGTTGGATAGTGAAGGTCCCACCTGACTGAGGTAATGATATTCTTCAGGCTTCATGAGGTGAAAGGCTGTCCTCTCTTCTTCACTCGCTCCTGCCAGCAGGTAGTAAAACACGTGGTAGTTTCTGCAAAATACAGACAAACAAAGCATGTTTTGGTCAGTTACATCAGACTCTGATGAAATACAATTCTTACCAAAAACATAATTGGGTGACTTACTTAAACATGAGACAAAATCATTTTCTAATTGCAAGTAAATAGTGCATGGTCGGCATAAATAAGGGGCTACAGTTCTTTTAGAGAGAAAAGAAACTAAAGGCTTGTATCCCAATGACACAAAATATGTTTATTTTGTATTTTACTTTTGTTACAAGTCAAAATATGTTGTTCAGTTAGCATAACTCTTAGCTGACTAATGTTGGCATGTGAACAAGTCCACAAACAGCGAAGAACCGTGTTACAAAAGTAACCAAACAGTTGATGTTAAGATTAAATGTTTAGCTATTTGGCTTGTTAGCTTTAACACTTGATACTAAAATGGCAGGAAAACGACAGCAGGACAATAACACGTGTACAGTTAGCTGGTCAGCTTGCTAGCATTTAGCATGAACACTTTAGCCAGGTACGACACAAACAGCTTGTTCCAAGTAAGTGCCACTGTAACATACATACATTTAGTATAGTAATATATAAAGCAAAGGTGTGTGTGTGTGTGTGTGTGTGTGTGTGTGTGTGTGTGTGTGTGTGTGTTGAAAGCATTAAGAGTTGCAGCATAGAGGTCAGGGGTCACACAATGTGCAGCAGCTGTGTAACCGAGGTCCACTTATAACACATACAAAGAAACACACACACAAACACATGCAAGCTTTTATGGGCCTGGAGTCAGCGATCCATCTCAATAAGCATTGGCTAACGCAGGAGGCCCTCGGTGAGCCCCCCCATGGTGAAGTTAACCCTCGTCACACTGTCCAGCCGGACAAACACATTACAGTCTATCTCACTTAGAGCTCTGCTGAGTCATGAATCACACTTTGGCAAACTTTAACAAAATGATCTTTAGGTTAAGGACACTCAGATCCACACTGTCTGCCAAAACTCCAATTACATTTATTTCATAATAAGACAGGGACCCGAAACACCATCTATTTTCTCTCAGTATATCTCAGTATAACAATATATTACAAGCATACTAAAATGTTGTTTTTGCATAAACTTCACATTGGCCTCCATGCCTGATATTGCATTGCATACAGAGAATTAAAGTGCCAGTGAGTACTTATTCATTATTAATCAGAGGTGAAGTGGTCTCTACATGTGAATTTCTGGTTCATAAAATAACGTACTTTAGTTTTGCATTTCTAGGATTATTATTGTGATTGGTTTTCTGAGAGGTGCTCACCTCTCATTGTGCTCCTGATAGACCAGCCTTGACTTCTCCAGGAGGTACTTCTCCACATATGCTCTGAGAAAAAGGACAAAAACATGGTTAGTTTGAAATCCAAATTTTCCGGGGAATATTGGAAGAGTCTGTCTCTGGTTCCTTACCCTCTCACAGTGCCGCTCTCCTGGTAGTTCACCTGAATGAATTTGCCAAAGCGACTCGAGTTGTTATTGTGCGCTGTCTTTGCGTTCCCAAAAGCCTGAATGGGAAAGAGGAGAAGAAACTTAGGGTTAAAAACAGATTCAAACTGGAAGGACTAAGAGGGAAATGGTTATATATTACATATCTCACACACATGTCAGAGCCAGAGATTCGAGGTCAACTTCAGAGTCAACTTCAGGTGTGGATAATTTGTGGGTCAAACACGCAGACTCTGGTCTTGTGCCAAACTTAGTCTTTAAACACTGTCAGCCTGGACTAAGCAGAGCGCACTCTTCCTCTTACATAGTTTCAAACAGTGTCAGTCCAAGACAAATTAAAAACATGGTTTAAGGATCTATCCAAATCAAAGTCAAACAAATTGCCAGAATGAGGATGAGGGAGTCGGGGCCAGCAGGCCTGATGGAAAAAAAAGCTTCTCAGTGAGTAATGGGATCCATGTGGCAGTGTGGAACATGTGTAGTGGTTGTGCTTTAATAAGACGCTCCAGAATTTCCCCTCACAGCTCTGTTTATGTTGTATGGCTGCCTGGAAGGGAAGTCGTTTCTCACCCTTTTTAAACCCTACAGTTATTTGTAGCTGCGCCACAAGTAAACAAATTCCTCAGTGAATCACTTAGAGCTACCCTGAGCCTCGCATCTGTGGCATTTGAAAACACCCCTCCTTGACCTCACACTTGACCAATGCCACTTAGATACATTCTAGCAGAAAGCTAATGCCAAGCTAATAAGCGAGATCATTGGGCTTCAGACTTTTCCTGATGCACAAACTTACGGCGGAAACTGCAAGGACTTACTCATCATCCCTCAAAATATCAGTGCTTTGTTTATGGATGGGCCATGATTGGCAAGTGGCATTACAGCGTTGCAACAATTATGAAAAAAATTCGGACATAGTTCTCATATTCAGTCGCAAAAAACATTAAAAGTTTCGGAACAGCAACAAGCCAGAAGTGTGTTTAGGGACTCATAGGCAGCTGACTCATTGTTTTCAATGTATCTCAGCTCTATAACACATAGAAAAGGGTCAAGGCTGGTAGGGCTGCATAAGATAAAATATGTTTGTATTTATCATGAAGTCCAACTGTATGGGAGACCTAAGTGGACAATTTACTGCGATAATGAGGATATATAACGAGAAATATCTAGTTGTGGTCTTGAGATCTCAAACTTCTTTTCTGATCATGTCAGGAAAAAGAGATTGTTTTCTTGTGATTAGGGTTTAATTGACTTTCAGTCTAGTAAAGAAAACAATAAGCTGGTCACTGCAATGGGCCAAACTACGACACCTTGCTAATAAGGTAAGTTAAGACTATTTTTCTCTGTCAAGATCTCAAGAAAACAACCGGGAAAGACTCCTTATCATGTGTCAACTGAGTAAATAAAATGTTTGGATGCATGTCTGCTTAGGGCTTCTGTACAACTGAGAAAAGAAATCATGAAAAGAATAAGCTGGAACCAAGTAAGCTATGCGATCTGAAAACTATTTCTTAATCAGACCATACTATTTTTTAACATATGGTTTTGGATCTTAACGACTTATGGTTACAAAAAATGTGCTCCATTAGATTACTGCAGCCAGCAGCAACACAACAAACTGTCATGGCTGCAACATCATCCGTGAGGATTCGGGATAAACACTAGAAATATTTGGTTTTGCTACTAATAGTCTCAGATTGTCTTTCTGTTTCTGACAGTATTATGGAAAGGTTCCCTAGAGAAAGGTATGATGCATGTTAGATTATCCAAAATCCCCCTTAAAAGGTGTGGTGATGTCTGTCCCATCTTTAGAAATAGGCAAACATCATTGTGCCACTAAGAGGATTTTGGCAGGCAGAGGAGTTGGGACGCTGATGTCTGTCTACTACCAACAGAGCCTGGCTCAAACAACTGGATCACAGCGATGAAGTCCCCCTTCGGTTATGACTCACCAAGCTGAACAAAATCATTAAAATGGGCAGACGTTCTGGAAAAACAGATTCAACTCTGCTGTCTGGACAAAGAAAGAGCACACAAGGCCAAACTAAGGAACAGTGACGATATCCCTTCACATGCAGAAATGTGGTTTTCAAATGTCTGATGCATTCAATATTCCCACACGGGCTACTAATCTGTTCTCCAATCCATTCGTCTCTCTGAACCGGCTAACCTGCCTGGTTCAGGAACTCAAGGTCAGACAAGGACAGACTACCATCAGTCAGAAACACAAAGTGGGAAGAACTTCCTGAATGGATAGCCAATAGCACTTGAGCGCTCAAAACAACAACCAGTTCAAGGAAATGAGTAGGAACTCAGGTCAGACGAGTCAGACATTGAACTTTTCATTGTTTTTTATTAAACTGCCTGACATGTAACAGTTTGTGTTGGGCCAGTAGGAAGCAGGATGTGGAACAACGAAAATACTGAGAGCTGATTTATGTCGAGGAACTTTGTATGTATCCACCTGGTTTGTGTATGAAAAAGCTTTACCAAGTTTTAGAAGACATTTTAACAGGACAGATTGTGTTCTGTCTAACGCTGGCGAGCTCCATATCAACAGAGATGAAAACAGAAATGTCTCCACAGACGGGACGATGTGTCATGACTACACTCTGGAGGGAGAAGAGTTTCTTAGGAACATGAAAGAACGTTTAAATGAAAATAAAATGATTTATAAAGCAGGGAAATTAATCTACATCTAAATGTGAATAACTCTACACTGCAGCAGTGGTGTCCTTAAGTTCTTTCTCTGTCTCCAGAACATTTTTTGAAGGTTTCAGTCTTGTCTTGGACTGGACGTACTTCCACTCTGTATTTTTGGGCTTCAACAAAATATATTATTTTTGTTTTTCTAGGCTTTTTAAGACCACAACTCATGGGATTTCACTAAGTTGCATGTGAAAAATGTCTGATTTAAAAAAAATGACAAGCTGCAGTGGATGTCGATAATGCAGTGTTAGCTTGAGGGTAAATTGGGGGGACAGGACCAATAAGTTTAATCATCATAAGTTTAATTTTCACTTAAGATAAATACATAAACAAAGACGACATATTACTGCATAGACAATGTCTATAAAGTGAAATCACATTAAGTGCAGACAATGTCATCTCCGACATGAATGCTTCCAGTCTGGATCTGGTCTTGACTCTGTTTCAGTCCCTTCCAATCTTGTCCTTGTCTCAGACTCAATTCACTCAATTACTCTTGCTCGGTTGAAAGTTGTCTTGACTAAAACACCTCTAAATAGAGGTAGTGACGAGATCATCACAAAATCATATTATTTAACAAGCCTTAGTTGAAAAGCAACACTGCAATCTAACTTGTCAACAGACAAATCTGAAACTGAAGAAATCAACATTTTTCACCCCAAATTACCCGAGATAGACCTCAATCCAAAACAGTCAAAGATATGTTGTGGCTACAGAAACATTTCAGATCTGCAAGAATTATTTCCTTCCACTCATGCTCTTTCCACCTCCACAAACATCCCGCAACAATGCAAATTTGTTCTTTGCCTGTTCTCCTTTGGGAGTTGTCGAAAGTTATTCTGTGAAATCTACTGTAAGTCACTAACTCGAGCAAACACAACAGCTCGGCGTTAAAAGGAAAGACAAAATAAGATTTTGAACAGATCGCAGTGGTAGAGTATCAGATGACAGATTTCTTTCCCCTTTGAATAGTCATAAAGACTCAAAGGGACACCAGAGCTAAAACTGTTTGTACAGACATGATTTGCACCACTTGAGTCACTCCAGCAGGTCAACAACATTATTCTTGGCTTCAGACCATAGACTGAGCCACAGGCAGACCAATGATGGAGTTGAGATTGTGCCAGTGTGTTCTGGGTGTAATGTGTCCCGACTATGGGCTTGGTCAAAGTCATTCAGAGGAGGAGAGTGAATCCCACAGGGCTGATATTATTTTTAAAGCAAAGTGCTCGGTTGGCTTTGTGTCTAATGCTGTGGTCACACAGAAAAAAACCTTTTAATTAGACTTCTTTTAGTCTGGGCTCTTGAAATCTTTCAACTGTCATTTAGTCAGAAAAGTAAAAGTTGGGAAATGACCACTCCCAGCACTCACTTTAAAATCAAAAATATATAACTCCATAATTTCCCAGTTCCCATCCTTTTTTTATCCCATGAAATGCAACACCTGTGAGAGATGAATACAATACAACTTCATTACTACCTGCAAGAACTGACGACTGACATGGTTAATGGAGGGAACTAGTTCTGGATTCCCAAATTTATTACAGATGTACATACCCATAAGCTTTGGCTGCCAATGCAGATACACAAATGTTCCAATCTAATAAGACCACACTGTTTTTTGTGAAACAAGTATATCCAACAGAAGCATTTCTACCAAGAGCAAATCTGTACAACCAAACACCCGTTGAAAAAGGGGTCAATGTTTGCAGTTTGGTCAGATTAGGCACCACAACTGCTTGTTAAGGTTTGGAAGAGAGATCGTGGGCTACATTAAATTGACCATCAGTCCCCTGGGTCAAACTCTTGTGTTTGATTGATTCATCCTGCCACTACAGGTCAACTCCTAAAAAGAACATGTCTGTTGAAAGTGCAGAGCTTCCAGTTGAACACAAATGTGTGTATATTTTTTCAATTCATAAGGTGGAGTTGAAATACTCAATAATCTCTTGAAGAAGTCAATGAAGTATTGTTGAAAAATTAAAATGGAATGAAAACAGAGTAAGTAGCTGTGGTCAGAAGATACCTTATTCATAATCCTCTTTTGATTTGAACTTTTAGTGTTTACTACATTAGATGAATGCATCACTGGTTTACTACAACAAAATAAATTATTTCAATAGAAACACAAAATGTACCCGGTCTAAGATTTCAAACAGAAAGACTGCAAAGAAAAACATTTCTCTTCAAAAGGAATTAATTAGGCTTCCAGCTCCTCCGAACACAATCAGGTCAGATTCTATTAATGCCTCTGTCTGCAGCGAGGTAATTAGCTCTCTCTCTCTCCCTTTGAATGCTCTGACCCCAGCAGTGTGAAGCAGACACACATGGCCTTTAATCATACGAGGATGAC